CACTGCTGTATTTGGTTTGCCAATATTTTGTTGAGGATTTTTTCACCCATGATCATCAAAGATGTTGGCTTGAAAGCTTTTTGATTTTTTGGTTATTGGCTTTTTTGTTTTTTGTTTTTTGTTTTTTTCTGAGGCAGCGTCTCATGCCGAGGCTGGAGTACAGGAGCGTGATCACAGCTCACTGTAACCTCCTCCTGGGTTCAAGCAGTTCCCCTGCCTCAGCCTCCCAAGTAGCTGGGCATGTGCCATCACACCCGGCCGATTTTTATATTTTTAGAAGAGATGAGGATTTGCCATGTTGGCCAGGCTGGTCTCAAACTCATGGTGTCAAGTGATCCACCCACCCTGGCCTCCCAAAGTGCTGGGATTAAGGTTGTGAGCCCCTGTGCCTGATCCTTCTGTCGCCTCTTTTTTTTCCTTTTTTTTTTTTTCTTTGAGACAAAGTCTAGCTCTGTGTCCCTGGCTGGAGTGCAGAGTTTCAGTCTCATTCCACCTCCCCCTCCCTAGGGTCCAGAGATTCTCGCTTCTCAGCCTCCTGAGTAGCTGAAACTACAGGCGTGCGCCACTGCTACGCCTGGCCCCATGGCCTCTTAATTCACTTTTCCTACACTGTGAAATTTGTCAGGTTATCTCACAATTTGATGTTTAATATTTTGGAGGATTGCCAGGTCTCCTGGGAGTGGTATTCTCCTGCACTACTCTGGCCGTTTGCTCTGTAGGCCTACTGCACAGCTATTGTCCTGGGACTTTCTTTTGTTTTTGATTTGTGCCAAATGTCAGATTTTCTTCATCTTGTGTTCTTCATAAGTCTCATTTTGGTGGATTCTTCCTGAGAAAGAAAGGGTGAGTGAGAGAGAAATGTTGTATAATATTGCTGGTCTTTATCTTCTTCCTCTTTTTTGAGACAGGTCCTTATTCTGTTTCCTAGACTAGAGTACAGTGATGCCATCATGGCTCACTGCATCCCCGACCTCCCGGGGCTCAGGTGATTCTCCCACCTCAGTATTCTGAGTAGCTGGGGCAGAAGTACATGCCATCATGCCTGGCTAAGCTGTTCTTTATTTTTTATTTATTTATTTATTTATTTTTGCCACAGTCACAGTCTTACTCTGTCTCACAGGTAGCTGGGATTACAGGCATTGATCACCCTGGCTAATTTTGTATTTTGGTAGAGACCGGGTTTCACCATGTTAATCCAGGCTCGTCTCCATCTCCTGGCCTCAAGTTAACCACCTGCCTCAGCCTTCCAAAGTTTTGGGATTACAGGTGTGAGCCACCTCATCCAGCCAAATTTTTTGTTGTTGTTTCTATTCCAGGTTTTGTTATCAGGACAATGCTGGCCTTATCATAGAATGAATTAGAAATGACTTTCAGTAGGAATAGTACCAACTCTTCTTTCTATATCTTATAGAATTCAAGTGTGAATCCATCTGGTCCTCACCTTTTTTTGGTTGGTAGGCTTTTTATTACTGATTGAATTTCAGAGCTCATAATTTTTCTGTTCAGGGTTTCAGTTTAATTCTGGTTCAGTCCAGGGAGAGTGAATGTGTCCAGAAATTTATTCGATTTTTTTTTTTTTTCTGGATTTTCTAGTTGGTGTTCATAGAGGTGTTCATAATATTGTCTGATATTTATTTGTATTTTTCTGGGTTCCGTCGTAATATCCCCTTTGTTGGTTGTTAATTTGTGTTTATTTGGATCTTCTCTCTTCTGTATTAGTTTAGCGAGTGGCCTATTTTATTAATTTTTTTCAAAAAAAAAACAACTGGATTCATTTATCTTTTGATGTCTCAATCTCCTTCAGTTCAGCTCTGATTTTGGTTATTTCTTTTCTTCTGTCTTAGCTTTGGGATTGATTTGCTCTTGGTTCTCTAATTCTAATTCTTTTTGTTATGTTAGGTTGTTAAATTGAGATCTTCCTGTCTTTTTGATGTGGGTGTTTAGTGGTCTCTTTACATAATCCCATATTTTTCAGAAGTCTTGTTACTTTTCATTCTTTTTTCTCTATATTTTTCTGGCTGTCTTATTTCAGAATGCCAGTCTCCAAGCTCTGAGATTCTTTCCTCCACTTTTTCTGTTCTGCTATTAATATTTGTGATTGCATTATGAAATTCTTGTATTTTTCAGCTCTATCAGGTCAGTTACATTATTTTCTACACTGGCTATTTTGTCTGTCAGCTCCTGTATTGTTTTATTATGATTCTTAGCTTCCTTAGATTGGGTTTCAGTGTACTGCGTCTTGATGACCTTTATTCCTGTTGATATTCTGAATTCTTTTTCTGTCCTTTCCGCTATCTCAGCCCCTTCAGAACCTTTGCTGGAGAGCTAGTACAGTTGTTTGGAGGAAAGAAGGCATTCTAGCTTTTTGAGTTGTACTGGTTCTGTCTCATCTTTGTGGGCTGATGTTCCTTCAGTCTTTGAAGTCGCCGACTTTTGGATTTTTTTTTTTTTCTTTTGTCCTATTTGATGACCTTAAGGGTTGGATTGTGGTATAAGGTAGATTCAGTCAACTGGCTTCGTTTCTAGAAATTTTAGGCCAAGTTTCAGCTTACAATTCCTGGAGTGCATGCTTTAATTTTGCAGGACTGATAACCGGTCCTCTGCTTTTTTCTCTGGCTTCTCAAGGTTAGGAACCCACTATGCTATGGGGCCTGAGGTTTCTGCACCTCTTGTCCCAGTGTGCCAATTGGTGGTGACAGCCAAACTGTTTGGTAGGGCAGTGACAGCAGGGTCCGTCCTTGTTCATACATGCCAGTGGCAGCACAGCGGGGTGCATGCTCATCAGCTACTGCAGGGTGCTAGCGGCTTCCATGTGGGCTTTCGCAGAAACAGCAGAGGCAGCTTGGCTCAGGGGTGCAGGGGCCCCAGCTGGCAACTCTGCATATGGTCATGCTGCTGGTGGCGTTAGCATGGGGATCAGCACTGGCCAATACAGGACCGTATGTACCCTTTGTACATGTTGATAAAAGCAGAGATGGCTGCTCAGGGTGAGGGAGGGTCCACTTTTCTCCGTGCCTGGTTGCATTCTAGTGGGCGGAGTGCACTCCCACTGGCAGCATGCAGGGCAAGGTGCATGCACACGTGTGCTTGCGAGGCAGGGAAGGCAAGATCCACCTGTGCATATACACACTAGCAAAGTGATGTGGAGGGTGGCCGTGGGCCCAGGGTAAGCTAGAGTGGGGAGAATGAGCAGGTGGCCCAGTGCATGGCCCCAGGGGCAACTCTGCTGGAGCTCTCCACTGGTCAAGCCTGGTTGGCTCACTCAGGAGCTGTGATGCAGGCCATCAGGGCACCCTGGGCTGTACTGCAAGCAGGAATGGCCAGGCTGGGGCCCCAGAGAAGGACAGCAGACCAAAGAGTGCTCAGGTCAGACCAGCCCTCTGTCTGATGGGCAACACCACCCTACAGAGTTCAGGTCTGACAGTTCCCCTAGTGCTAGAGTCTCCTATGGGAGCAAGCAGAGCCTAGGGGGATGGGCATCCCGGGCTGTGTTCCAGTACAGATGCTATGGCAACAAGTGGTAGAGAAGTGGTAGAGGCAGTACGCTAGCCAGTGTGGAGCGCACTAATCAGCTCTCCCTGCCAACTAAAGTGTCCGTGGTAATCAAGGGATCTCCTCTGCTGGGATTCCCAGAGGTCCTTGGCAAGAGCGAGTTGCCCCTTGCCAGTTTAACTCACTCATTCTCCCAGAGTCACTGGGGGCCAGGAACCAGTCCCAGTTCACAGTAGCCCCATGCAGGCTTCTCAGTTTTCTCCTGCTTCAGTCCAGCTTCTGTGTCATCTCTCAGCCCACTCAGTGCCTTCCCTTTGAAGATCTCTTAGGATTGCACCAGTCATCCCAGTCCCTGGGTGGCAGCTGTTCCACCTGGCTGCATCTAGTCCACCATCCTGCCTAACTCTTTGGTTTTCTTTAAAATCCTTTTATCTGTGTTATTGCTTTCGTCTTTCATATTGAAGGTTTTCCTTAATTTTCTGGTACTTATTGTTTGTCCATCCATGTTTAAATATTAAACCATGTTTAAGAGTGAGGCACTAAAATGCTTCCCAGGAGATCTGAGTTTAGTCAGAACTTGTAGGCTAAAGGCTAAAACAAAACACAGTTTTGTTTTTTGCTTAGTTTCTTCAAATGAGAAATGTCTACTCTGTCCTGAAATGGAATTAAGTTTCACCTAATTTCCCCATTTTCAATCTAGTACCTCATCCCTGCTTTGCTCTATGCCTGATATACTTGAGTCTGGTTCTGTTTTCCTAGTATATATCCTACCTATTGTCTGTTATTCTTGGTTTATCTCTGTTTTGTTAATACAAGTGGAGGTTTTTTTTTTTTCGTTTGTTTGTTTTTTGTTTTTTTGTTGTTTGTTTTTTTCAGATAATAGGTACAGTCTTTTTGGTACATATAATCGTTCTAGTCATACAACTAAAACTCACTTTGTTTGGATTTGATCCTAAAATATATTGGCCACTGTAAATGACTACTGTCCTTCATTACCTATCTGTCTAGCCAAATTTGACTAGTTTAGATCTTAGAGATCTTAGTTCTGAGTTTCTTTTGCTACCATGTACTGATTACAAATAACAAGTCAGTAGGCTGGTCCTAGTGGCTCATGTCTGTAATTCCAGCACTTTGGGAGGCCAAGGCAGGTGGATGACTTGAGGTTAGGAGTTTGAGACTAGCCTGGTCAACATGGTGAAACCCCATCTCTACTAAAAATATAAAAAGTAACCAGGCGAGGTGGTGGGCGCCTGTAATCCCAGCTACTCGGGAGGCTGAGGCAGAATCATTTGAAACCAGAAGACGGAGGTTACAGTGAGCCAAGATCACGCCACTCACTCCAGCCTGGGCAACAAGAGCAAAACTCCATTTCAAAAAAGAAAAAAACAACCAAATATCATGTCAGTAATTGCTATTAGGATTATTAAAGTGCATCTTACACTGTGTATTGCACAAAAAGTATTTTTCTCTTTGAAAATAAAGCTTGCTTCTCTCCTTTTGAAAATTAGACGTTCCAAAAATGACAGAACTCTTTATGGAATGTGAAGAAGAAGAGCTGGAGCCATGGCAGAAGAAAGTAGAAAAAACTGAGGATGAGGATGATGATGAACTGATCTTTGTTGGAGAGATACTAAGATCAAAACCAGCCATTTCAAGTAAGCATTTACTTTCAGTGAAGTAACGTTTCTTAAGATGGTTGTTTCTAATGGAAGATATATGGGATATCTTTTTTTTTTTTTTTTTTTTTTTTTTTTTTTTTTTTTTTTGAGACAGAGTTTCGCTCTTGTTACCCAGGATGGAGTGCAATGGCGCGATCTCGGCTCACCGCAACCTCCGCCTCCTGGGTTCAGGCAATTCTCCTGCCTCAGCCTCCTGAGTAGCTGGGATTACAGGCACACGCCACCATGCCCAGCTAATTTTTTGTATTTTTAGTAGAGACGGAGTTTCACCATGTTGACCAGGATGGTCTCGATCTCTCGACCTCGTGATCCACCCGCCTCAGCCTCCCAAAGTGCTGGGATTACAGGCTTGAGCCACCGCGCCCGGCGATATATGGGATATCTTAACTGTCCTTCATGATGTTGTTCTTTTGTAAGGAGTTAGAGGTAAGAGGGAGAGTAAAGGTCAGTAGGAACTTGTGAGAATCAAGACAGGAATGTAGTTGAAGACTGGAGTAAGTAGGTGAGAGGATAAAAATAACAGGTGTGATCAAAAGGAAATAGCTAAGTTAATTGAGGGTTAAGATGACCTGAACAGCAATGTGAGCTTTCTGAGATTGAAAATCATAATTTTTAATGGAGCCAAGTAGACTATCTGTTTATTAATTTTTTTCTCCCTTAAACTCAGATGTACAGAAAAGGAAGTGTTTGGAATGCTTTTCTTAAAATATAATATGCTTAATACATTTGTGTTAGTGTCTGATGGGAGTTCTAATGTCTAAGCAACTGCCTCATCAAACTGTCATCTTGATATATGACTATAAAATGAATAGGTGCTGCATGATTATAGAGTCTCTGGTCTGTCTACCGGCATGTGCTGTAGCCTCTGGCTATACCCATCTTCCAGCAACTGTTTATATTCGTGAGGGAGGGAGGGCCTGGTTTTCCAACACTATACTTGGACAATGCAGGCAGTCAGCACATTTAAATCTTAACGGCTTTCTAGCAAAACATGTCTAGTAGTACCTTTGTGGATTGTTAGATTTCTTTTAGACTAATTAGACTTGGCATTATAATACTGTTAAAGTGAAGATATTGGTAATGCTTATTAAAATGTTTTCTTGTAATTCTAGCACTTTGGGAGGCCAAAGCGGGCGGATCACTTGAGGCCAGGAATTTGAGACCAGCCTGGCCAATATGGTGAAACTCCTAAAGATAAAAAAATTAACCAGGCGTGGTGGTGCATGCCTATAGTCCCAGCTACTCAGGAGGCTGAGGCACGAGAATTGCCTGAACCTGGAGGCAGAGGTTGCAGTGAGCCAAGATCATGCCACTGCATTCCAGCCTGGGTGGCAGACCAAGATTTCTCAAAAAAAAAAAAAAAAAAGTTCTCAGAAGTGTATAAAGGGCAAGGGAAAACCAGCATAACTGAATTTCAGTAGAGTAAGAGGAAGCAGATCCTTTTTCATTTTGTTTACTTGTTTTAGGCCTGGAGAAGTCAAGGAATGTAGCTAGCATACCAGTTTTCTTACTTAGTATGGCAGTGACTAATAGTGTGGTTCAGAGATAGTTTTAAATTTTCTGAAAGCCTAGTTCTTCTCTTGACTCTAAACTTGGAATAGCATTTCTTCTACTCAGTTTTATCAGAGGCAGAATAATTTAGGCAATTGAATTCTCAATATCATTTCCTGTGGTAAATTGGGAGGTTCTAAGGGGAGAGCCACTTAAATTATTAAATGAACTAAGTACATTTGGCATATTTATTGCTGATAGTAGATTAGGATATTCTCTTATTTCCAGTCACTGTGACAATTTTTATGCTGAAATAATACATTTCCAAATTATTACTCAAACCATTTTATTGAAACATGACAATTAAGATTCAAGCTGGATTTATATTGATTATAGATGACTGTTAACAACACTAAACCAAAACATGTATTAGTTTTAAGAGATTGTATCAAAAAGAGTATTGACCCCACTAGAATTTTTCTATATTGATAACTCAAAATTTAAATGATTTTATTGATGTTTTATGTGTAAGCCATAAAATATTTTAGCATATGGAATATCATCTAAATGTTTTATGTAGAACTACCATGAAGGCAGAGGAGGAGGAGGAAAAACTTGTGTTTGGTAGACTATAACCACCAAAAAGTAGAAATAACTCTTAGTGAGTGGATTGAGTAACACTTACCTTGAATTTCTGAATTAAAACATTATCAAGTTGTTTGAGGAGATTTTTCTTCTAGAAGACTTTTGTAGTGTTTACTCATAGATTACTGCATGTCTGTGATCAGAAAACAACTCTACTTTTGTGTGACCCTTCACATGATAAAAATGTTTTATGGGATCTGGTTCTTTTCTACTAGGAGAGAAAAAAGGAAAAATGTTGAAGTTCTATGGGTTTGTTAATGCTTTGTACCTTTTCCTGTTAAGCAATTTTAGGCAAATCACTATTCTTCCAAATTTCAGTTTGACTCCTCAGTAACCTAGAAGTTACGGAGTTTCATATGGGTACATGGGTGTGCAATCTTAAACTGATCCAGAGGGTTTTTTGAGGCTCAAACTGACTTCTGATGTAGTAATAGATTTGAAACCCCTTAAATTAATCAGCTACTCTGGAACTCCAGGTTCAGTTTAGTCTGTAGTCTCTGTTAATTTCCTATTCAGAACTCAAGAGTAATGGTGCAAAAAGGTAATCCAGTCAGCCCTCCCATCATGAAACTTTCAGATTTTTTAGAGGTGTGAATGTGGCACAGGGTTGGGGAAGGGTTTGATTTCAAGTCATGGGGATCTGAATCTGTACACAACCCTGTCATCATTAATGGAAAGAAATATACTTCAATTATAGGTTATATAAAGAGATATTTTGGAGGGATTTTTCTATTATCTTAGTATATATTTCATTCACATAACAAATTTTAAATATAATTTATAGATATTTTGAACAGAGGCCATTCCAGCTCATCTTCCAAAAGAATAAAGGGTGAGCCAGGCAGTCCAGGTACAGTATTACTATAGTATTTCAATTTTAAAGTGAAATATTTTGACATAATTGGTTGTATAGAAATATATTCAATATATTGTATAATTTTAAAATACAGGTATTCCTGAAATATTCAGGACTGCAAGTCAACGCTACAGAGACCCATCATCAAATGCAGTGGCAGCCTTGCCTAGATTTCATCCTGAATCTGAATCTCCACAAAGCTCTGTTACTGTTGAGAATGAGTCTAAACCTGTAAGTGTTTATATAATTCAACAATTAATTCAGGGACACATTGGCTGTTGTAATACTGAGTTAAAATTGTGATCTATCAGCCGGGCATAGTGGCTCACACCTGTTATTGTTGGCACTTTGGGAGGCCAGGGCAGGCAGATCACTTGAACCCAGGACTTCAAGACCAGCCTGGGCAACATGGCAAGACCATATCTCTACAAAAATACAAAAAATAAACTGGGCATAGTCTTGTACTACCTGTAGTCCCAGCTACTCAGGAGGCTGAGATGGAAGGATTGCTTGAGCCCTGGAGGTCAGAGCTGCAGTGAGCCAAAATCATACCACTGCATTCCAGCCTGGGTGACAGGGTGAGATCCTGATTCAAGAAAAAAAAAAAAACAAAAGCCAACACAAACCCCAAAATTGTGAACTATCATAGTTACCATTTCAGTAGAAAAGTAGTCCCCATCTTAAAGATACAGCTCAACCAAAACCCCAAATAATAACTGCAGGAATTATCTAACATATTAATAAACTAGCTAATATGCTTAAATAGATACAATATTGAAAACTATGCTATGTAAATATGAGTTAAAAAGTATGATCAGGCTGGACATAGTGGCTTACTCCAGTAATCCCAGGATTTTGGGAGGCTGAGGCAGGTGGATTGCTTGAGCACAGTAGTTCAAGACCAGTCTGGCCAACGTGGTAAAACCCTGTCTCTACTAAAAATACAAAAAAATTAGCCAGGCATGTTGGCATGCACCTGTAGTCCCAGCTACTTTGGATGCTGAGGCAGGAGAATCGCTTGAACCTGGGAGGCAGAGGTTACAGTGAGCCAAGATTGCACCACTGCACTCCAGCCTGAGTGACAGAGTGAGACTCTGTCTCAAAAAAGAATTTTTTTTTAAGTATGATCAGTAATAAACATTTTTAAGTTAATAAACTGAAACAGGTGTTCTTAAATTGGAAAGAGTGTTCTGAAGTCATTATTGCTGCTTATTCTGAAAACATACTTTCATAGGTTAGCTTTAAAAACTTCTAGTAAAAGTCATAGATAATGGTAATACTTAACATTTACCGGGCTGTCAATATGTGCACGTCTTTGTGCTAAATACTAGATATAAGTTAATCGTGTTTGATTCTTAATGGCACCTTTATGAGGTAAGCACCTTTTTCTTTTTTTTTTTTTTTGAGACAGTCTTGCTTGCTCTGTCTCCTGAGGCGGAAGTGCAGTGGCACGATCTCAGCTCACTGCAGCCTCTGCCTCCCAGGTTCAAGTGATTGTCCTACCTTAGCTTCCCGAGTAGCTGGGATTACAGGCATGTCCCACCACACCCAGGTAATTTTTGTATTTTTAGTAGACAGGGTTTCGGCATGGTGGCCAGGCTGGTCTCGAACTCCTGACTTCAAGTGATCCACCTGCCTTGGCCTCCCAAAGTGCAGGATTATAGGCGTGAGCCACTGCGCTTGGCCGAGGTAGGCATTATTATTATTCCCATTTTATAGTTGAGGAAACTGAGGCTCAGATTCACTCAAGGATACACAGCTGGTAAATGATGGATCTGGGATTTCAATCCAGGTTAACCCAGAGTTTTAAAAATATGCGTATACACACATCCATTTATACATTTAAGCATATACTTTTATTTACTTATTTAGAGACAGGCTTTTGCTCTGTCACCCAGTCTGGAATGCAGTAGCATGATCATAGCTCACTGCAGCCTCCAACTCCTGGGCTCAAGCAATCCTTTCGTGTCAGCTTCCCAAGTACCTGGGACTACAGGCACACACCATCACGTCCAGCAAATTTGGCTTTTAATTTTTTTAGAGATGGGGGGAATCTCACTATGTTTTGAACTCCTGACCCCAAGCTGTCCTCCGCCTCAGCCTGCCAAAGTGTTGGGATTACAGGCGTGAGCCACTGCACCCAGCTCCATTAAGTGTGTACTTTTTAAATGGAAGCACTGCCTTAGAGCAGTGGTGCAGTCCACAGGCCCTTAAGGTTCCCTAAGTCTCTTCCAGGGGTCTGTGAGGTTAAAACTGTTGTCATAAACATTTGCACTTTTCACTATGTTGACATTGTAAAACTCCAAGTGATTGTAATGTGCAGCCAGGGTTCAAAATGATGGACAAATACTCTCAAATGAATTGAGAATCCTACATAAGGAAATTTTATTTAAAAATTTAAATCTATTTCATTATCTCTTTCAGGCAGGGAAGGAGAGTATTATTATCTCTTTTAAAGTCCGTTTGATATAGCTTAAGGACACAGGCTTTGTAATCAGGCAGACCTTAGTTCTGATTCCAGCTCTATCATCAGTAACAGGCTGGGTTGTACTGGAAACCTTAACTACAAGAAATTTTAGTTTACCTATGTATAAAATGTGAGATAATATTAGGTCTTTATTAGTACTGTTATGACAACCACTTAATATAATACACGTCCTGTGAAAGAGGCAAGTACGTTTTAAATACATAATTATGCCAGGCATGGTGGCTCACGCCTATAATCCCAGCACTTTGGGAGGCCAAGGCAGGTGGATCACGAGGTCAAGAGATTGAGACCATCTTGGTCAACAAGGTGAAACCCCGTCTCTACTAAAAATACAAAAATTAGCCGGACGTGGTGATGCACGCCTGTAGTCCCAGTTACTCGGGAGGCTGAGGCAGGAGAATTGCTTGAACCCAGGAGGCGGAGGTTGCAGTGAGCCGAGATCCTGCCATTGCACTCCAGCCTGGGTAACAAGAGCAAAACTCCGTCTCAAAAAAAAAAAAAAAAGATACATAATTATTGGTGGCTGTTACTTCAGTTGGAAAGGTAAATAACTTGAAGCTCAGAAGTAACTTGCCCAAGGTTACATAGTTAAATAAATGGAAAGGTCTTCTGAATCTCAGCCTATTGCCTAGTCTACCTTACTGTTAACAGTTGTTATCTTTCTGAACTATTTTATGAGACATAAGAAATTCCCAATTGGAGAATTATTTAACAGGTTATTTGTTGAATAATGTGTCTACTTTCTGAAATTGTGATAGTTATCAGAGACCTCACCTCAGAAAAGGTTAAAGTGCTACCTTTATTCAGAGGAACTTCTGTTAACTATTTTTGGATATTACAAATGGATATTTTCCACTTTTAAGGGCAAATATTTAGAGAAAATACTTACTTTGTGGTAAGATTGTGCTTGGTTACAATTAAGTCATAGTCTAAAACCTAATCATCTCAAATTGTAAGCACAAAATAAGCAAGCAAAATCTTTATATCATCATTATAAAAGTAATACGTAAGGAGGGGCAGGTTAGAAAAGAGACAGGCAAGAATACATACTTTATTTTGATTTTTGTTTTCTTAGATGATTAGGGTGACATTAGAGTATATCAACCAGGACCATATTAATACATATTTCATGTCTGTTCCTCATTTTTCACAGAACATTGTACTGGGAACATTGTACTTTGTCATTGAATAGTTCTCGAAAAATGTTATATGATAGTATCATTTAGTCTTTTTTTTTTTTTTTTTTTTTGAGACAGAGTTTCGCTCTTGTTACCCAGGCTGGAGTGCAATGGCGCGATCTCGGCTCACCGCAACCTCCGCCTCCTGGGTTCAGGCAATTCTCCTGCCTCAGCCTCCTGAGTAGCTGGGATTACAGGCACGTGCCACCACGCCCAGCTAATTTTCTTTTTTTTGTATTTTTAGTAGAGACGGGGTTTCGCCATGTTGACCAGGATGGTCTCGATCTCTTGACCTCGTGATCCACCCGCCTCGGCCTCCCAAAGTGCTGGGATTACAGGCTTGAGCCACCGTGCCCGGCCTCATTTAGTCATTTATTAGGCATATAGGTTTTCAGTTTTTGCTATTATAAATCGTCATTAAACATTTCCATTTCTTTAGCATAGATTCTTAGAGTAACTGGAATAATTGGACCAAAGAATATGAACTTTTTAAAGCCCTTGATAGATACTGCTAAAATTTCCTTGCAGAAAAGTTGATTCAAAATATAACCTCTACTTTGCCAATAATATTATTTTTAAATTTTAGTGTTTTATTTCAAACTATTTTTGATTTACAGAAAAATTAGAAAAATAATGCATAATTCCCATATATCCCTCACCCAGTAGATGCTAATTTTGGCAGAAGCTAATAATTACCTTTGTGTTTCATACCGTATTAGTAACTGGGTTATTAAGGTTCTTTATAGTATTGACATACCTTTAAATTTACCTCTGTATAAGTTTATGAAACAAAATAATTATAACTTTTTACAGGATTTTACAAAGAATTCACCAGATGAATCGGATAATGCTTCAGTCTTACTGTTTGACTCGACCCAGGAATCAGTTCCACCATCCCAAGACATACCAGCAATTTTTAGAGAAGGTTTGGTTTAGCACTCTTTCATAAAAATTATAAAAAGAGACTTGGTGAATATACATATGGAATTAAATTTCTGTTTTAAAGCCTATACCTTCATGTTAAGATTTTCATGTATTATAACATGGAATAGAGCTAATCATTCCTGAATGGCTTTCTTGGGTGATATATAAAATTGTATTTAGTAATAGAATATTTTATATCTTTCTGTTAAGTTGGCTAGCACATATTCTTTGCACTCTTTCTCACTTGGAACCAGCCATGGACTGAAAAAATATAATTTCTGTGAGTCAAGGAAGACCCCTGATGCCTTAAATACTCTGAAAACAAGTATTAATTATTTGGAAGACACTTAGTATGAGAAAAGGCATGGTTATAGTTTATTCTCAATAGCCTAATATCTTTCTATTCAAATAAAATATGATGTAGATATGATAGTTAAATATGATTATAGAGTAGTAGTATAAAATGAAAGAATAAAGAAATAGTGATTTCTACATGGTAAGTATTCAGCAAGTATACATTGAAGTAATAGTGGAAATTTTCTAGTTGAAGTGTTACAGTTCTTTGATGTCTACCTTAACAGAGTTCTTTATTAACCTAAAATAGGTTAGTATTGCCAATAAAGGAATTTTGTATTGTTGAAAATTCCCTATAATCAAAGCAATTACTGTTCTTTGTATTAGCTAGTTTGATATATTTCAGTGGAAATGGAAATATTTCAGTGGAAATATATCAAACTAGCTAATACAAAGAACAGTATTGGAAAGAGGGACACAATGATTTTTTGAATATTTAATTATTTACTAAATGGAAAGAGGGACACAGTGATTTTTTGAATATTTAATTATTTACTCATAAATTAGTATATAACCTTTACCTAACCAAACCAAAAGAATTATAGTAATAGGAGTACCAAAAATATTTTCCCATTTTGATATTACTTGGTTTGATATTCACCTATCTGTCACTTATCTAATTAGTAAAATAGCCAAGAACCAAAATAAACAGAGAGATAAAACAGTTGTTTTAACTCGGGTTTTGCAAAGCACAAGATCTTTATTCATAGAAAAAGTGTGAATTCTTGAAGCTTCTAAAGGGTAAAGACAGTGACTCCTCCTGTCTCTCTAAGATTAATACAGAAGAGAGTGGAACTTTGTCCTGAATAGTAAATAGGATTGTAGTTGATTGGGAAGATACAGGTTTAAGCCTTTATTCTAAACATTTCTGTGGCCTTTATCAAGTCATCTAACCTCTTAATATCTCAATTTTGTCACATTATTAAAATAGATACTTTCATTTTACTCACATAAAGCATTTATTTTCCAGACCTGAAATGAGCCATTGGATATTAAATTTTAATTCTTGCTCTGTTTATCTCAGGGCTTTTTTGAGGCCCAAATAAGATAAGTGGAAAGTGAAAAATGCATTATCAGTTTTAAAGGACTTGACAATAAACAGTTGTTAGAATGATAATCATGAATGATAATATGTGCTGTATGTTCAGAAGCATGATTAATGGACTTCTGTCTAAGATGATCATGGAAGGTTCTTAGGGAAAGTTGGATTTGAACTTGATTTTGAAGAATGAAAATAGGGTTTTTATCAGCACAGATAATAGTCGAGGTAGGGAACAGCATGAGCAAAACACAACAGAATTAAATAAGCTAAAGGGCCAGAATTTAAAACAATTGAGCTCAGGTTGATTTTATTTAACTTAGATTTATCATGCTTAAAATAAGTATATATTAAAATAGTCTATTTTTATTATCCAGCTGGTTATATAATCAGTTACCTAGTCCAGAGTACTAGCACACTCATTGGTTGTTTAAGTAACCTAAGCATCTGAGAAAAATGTTAAAGTGATGACACAAAAATTACTGTTAGGTGCCTTCAGTATAGCTGGCAGTAATCATGTTCTTTGAGGATGGAAAAAATCATTTGTGTTTAAAGAAAAAATTACTTCTATTTTATCTCAAAGAATGAAACACAGATTTAACAGAGGAACCCACTAATGTAATACTCTTATTTTCCTGGCATATATCTACTCTACTGCTTTTCCTGTTGTACAATTGTGAGCTTTTAAAACATGATGTGCCGTTTTAGAACCCTTATAAAGTACAACTGTATATTATTTTCAAAAATCACTTGTGCTGGGACTGGTTATAGCCTAAATACCCCATTTGTTATGGAAATGCCCTGAATTACATAATCCTTTGGTCTTTAGGATGGTGGTTCTCAAACTCAGAACTCTCTTTAGCAGTGAAATTCTTATTCAAACAAAATTTATGCAGAAAGCTAGTAAAATGTGAAAGGAGAGTTTCTTTATCTGACATGCCCATTATATTTTCTAAGACCCATTGGACTTAAGGGAACATACTTTGAAAGTCATTATACTAACTTTAAACCTTTTCACATGAATGAGTGAGGTATTATCATTCAAGATTAGTTGTATATAGGGAATAAACAAGATAATTTAATCTGAACCACCTGTTAGGTTGTTAGGTAGAAAAAGAACCAACTTGAATTTTCCATTACACATCTTAAGTTTTTTTTAAAAAAACATTTAAAAGTGTTTCTCTTAATGTTTAGAAAAATTTTTTAAATATTTTGCAAACTCAAATGCATTTAAGCATCTAAATATAAGTTGATGTATAGAAACCTAACTCAGAGTATTCTCTGGGCTATAACTTTTATTTCTTTTATTTTGCTTGGAATTTTTTTTCTTTCTTTTTTCATTGATACCTGTTTATGTTTTCTTTAGTTGAAAAGCGTTTTTAGAATTTTCTTTATATAAAGTTTATTTTGTAAAGATACATAGTTCATAGTAGTTAGCTGTTTGTGTAATTTCTTTGTACTTCCACATATAAATTTTAATCGTTGTTTGTCATTTGTATGATATGCTAATTAAATTACATTACCTTTAGTTCCAAAGTATTTTTGCTCAATTTTAAATATAAGGCCATTTTAGTAGCAGTTTTACATAAGCAATATTCCATACTGAAACATTTACAAATATCTTTCTCAATATTTAAATCTTTGTAGGTATGAAAAATTCTTCATATGTATTAAAACGTCCTTCTACTTCTAAAGTAAACACTGTTACTCCAAAAAAACCAAAGACCGGTGAAGATGTTTCTGAAATAAATCCCTCCACTTCATTGCCTTTAACTGACTCTCCTCCAGTGACATCCTCCCACATTAGGCTAGCAAAAGGTAAGCATGAAATCTGGCATGTAAAAAAAAAATTGTATTACTTATACATGCGTTTTAGAAATTGTAATGAATTTTAAAACCATTATTATTGGTCGTTTAAGGTTTTAAAAAGATGAATTTGAGTCTTAAAAGACCTTAATTTATTTTAGGCACAAATACCTCATCTCCATATGATGCTGAAGCACGTTACCTAACAGCTTGTCCAAAGTGCAATGTTCAGTTCAATCTTTTGGATCCCTTGAAATACCACATGAAGGTAAAACTGTTTTCAGAATTCAGTTTTTAAAAATGTTTATAGATTCTTGAAAATATTAAAAATTGATATACAGCAAATGCTGGTTTATCTAGATATTTAGATAAGAAACCTTCTCATATTGATTTCCATGTAACTTAAAATTGATACTCACAATGGTTTTTTTATAAAAGATTTTAACATCCTTTCCAATGATGAAAATTTTTTTTTTTTTTTTTGAGACAGAGTTTCACTCGTTACCCAGGCTGGAGTGCAATGGCGAGATCTCGTCTCACTGCAACCTCCGCCTCCTGGGTTCAAGCAATTCTCCTGCCTCAGCCTCCTGAGTAGCTGTGATTACAGGCACGTGCCACCATGCCCAGCTAATTTTTTGTATCTTTAGTAGAGACAGGGCCTCCTGGGTTCAAGCAATTCTCCTGCCTCAGCCTCCTGAGTAGCTGTGATTACAGGCACGTGCCACCATGCCCAGCTAATTTTTTGTATCTTTAGTAGAGACGGGGTTTCACCATGTTGACCAGGATGGTCTCGATCTCTTGACCTCATGATCCACCCGCCTCGGCCTCCCAAAGTGCTGGGATTACAGGCTTGAGCCACCGCGCCCGGCATGATGAAATTTTTTAAATTAAGTTTGTTATGGATAGAACTGGAGGCGATTATGTTAAGTGAAATAAGCCAAGCATAGAAAGACAAATATCACATGTTGTCACTCATATGTGAGAGCTAAAAAGTTGATCTCATAGAGATAGAGAGTAGAACGATAGTTGCCAGAGGCTGGGAAGGGTGTGTGTGGAAGGGTAGGGGAACATGAAGAGAGGTTGGTTATTATGTACAAATAAACAGTTAGATAAAATGAATAAGTTCTAATGTATGGCGCAGAGTAGAGTGCAAAATAGCTAGGAGAGAGCACTTAAAATGTTGCCAGTGCAGAGACATGATAAATACTCAAGGTGATGGATACCTCAGACACTCTGATTTGATCATTATATATTCTGTGCACTTAAGAAAATATCACATGCACCCTATAAATGTATCAATTTAAATTTTTTAATTAAGTTAATATGCACTACAGCGTGTGCATATTGCATTTTAATTATTTATTTATTTGAGACAGACTCTTGCTTTGTTGCCCAGGCTGGAGTGCATTGGCACAATATTGGCTCCCTGCAACCTTTGCCTCTCCAGTTGAAGCGATTCTCTTGCCTCAGCCTCCTGAGTAGCTGGGATTACATGTGGTGCCACCATGCCTGGCCCATTTTTGTATTTTTAGTAGAGATGGGGTTTTGCCATGTTGGCCAGGCTAGTCTCGAACTCCTGGCCTCAAGTGATCCAGTGTGAGCCACTGCAACCAGCCTGCTTTTTAACTTTAAATGAAAATAATGTATAAATTGGAATATTTTACTGTCTAAATTACGCCATTCTTCATAATTCTTGTAAAGCAGGTATTTTATTAGGGGCTTAATCTTTTGTGTAAAATAAACGCTCCTTTTGTTTACCTTATTTTTTCCCCATGGTGATAATATGCATGTCACATTACTCTGTGAAAACGTTAGTCCTTACATTTTAATTTTCAGTGCTCAGAAATAAACTCTTAGTGATGGAGCGTTTCGTTTGAAATGATTTAACTCAATCCATAATATAGTTTATGTTGTTATAAGTGAATTCTAGCTTTATATTAACATGGGAAGTTCTTGAAATTAAGTTTTAGGTAATTTTCACAGTACTTATGGAGTATGTGATTAAGGTAACACTCTACTTAAAATATGTTAATAGATATTACAGTATTATGTGCGTATAAAGATAGTCTGTATTCTCCTTGCATGCCCTACATACATGCCCTGTAAATGACAGGAAGAGGCAAAGGAGGCAAGAAAAAAGTCAGTGTTGATTATATGTGGGAAAGAAGTGATGAGAAGAGTACAAAGCAAAGAAGCAGCTTAGGAAAAGGAATTGTTCACTATTTCAAAGATTGACAGATTTTTATTAAAATTAAACATTTTACAAAAAAGTGGGATTAAAAAAGGAGTTCTAAAATTCCAAATACAAATTTCTTTACTCTGAAGCAAAACTGTATTAGATCTTTCGCCATTTCCACCTCCTTGAGTGTGTTTGGGAAAGGGGAATCCCAAGTCTCACATTACCACTAATTCTCTTGATATCTTCCAATTCTGTTTTGTGGTGTTGCTCTTTAAGATACAGATGTATTCATTCACATTGTGAGCGCATCCTTTAGCATTTTTATACTGTACTTTTTGTCTGTTCAGTACTTTTTGTTTGCTATCAGGCTCACAACCCTTGCTTTCTTGTTTCCATCTGCCTGTTACATTCTTGGCTTATCCTTTTATTTTCAACCCTCCCAAATCATCTTCCTTTCTTTCACCAGAGTTGTTTTTTCTTTTGTAGTCCTATATGAAAATTTATTTTCTTTTAGAAGTTGAGTTAAACACTTTATATTCATTCGTAGGAGAAATTTTATTGGTCTGATAGGTTTAATTGGTCTTGGTTTTGTCACAATGTTTTGTTATACTTTCTTTGTCCTTTTTTTTAAAAGTCCGTTTGCAATTTTAGGAAAGTTTTTTCTTTTGTTTTCCACTCTAACTTGTTTTAATATGTAGTCTTTTTAAAAATAAATAAATAAATAAATAAATAAAAACTTTATTGAGGTGTGATTGACCTGTAAAAATCTGTATTTATTTAATGCATACAACTCGATGAGTTTGGAGCTAAGTATACATCCATGAAACCATCACAGTTTGTGTCATAAACATAACCATCACCTCCAAAAGTTTCCTCCTGCCCTCTTTATTATTGTTACCTTTTTGTGATATGAATACATAGAAAAATCTACACTTTCTAGCAAATTGTTTAAGTGTGTAATACAGTATTGTTAACTCTATGCACTGTTCTATATAGTAGATCTTGAATAACAACCTTCGTATCTTTTGACTAATACCTTCCCATTTTTTCCTCCCTCTAGCACTGGCAATCACAATTCTAGTCTCTGCGTCTATGAGTTTGACTATTAGATTCCTCATATAACAGAAATTATGTAATATTTGTCTTTCTGTGACTGGCTTGCTTTCCTTGTGTGTCTTCCAAATCCATCCATGTTGGTACAAATGATAGGATTTCCTTCTGTTTTACGGCTGAATAATATTCCATTTGTGTATGTGTGTGTGTGTGTGTGTGTGTGTGTGTGTGTATATGTATGTGTATACATACCACATCCTCCTAATCTATTTGTACATTAATAGACATTTAGATTGCTTTCATGTCTTGGCTATTATAAATACTGCTGCAATGAACATGGGAGTACAGATGTCTTGGGATTTTGATTTCAATTCCTTTGGGTGTATACACAGAAGTAGGATTACTGAATCATATGATAGTTGTATTTTTAACTTTTTGAGAAACCTCCCATGTTTTCCATAGTGACTGAACCAATAACATTCCTACCAATGATGTAAAAATGTTCCCATTTTCCCACATTCTCACCAACACTTATCTTTTGTCTTTTTGATATAGCTGTTCTAATAGGTATGAGGTGATAGCTCTTTGTAGTTTTGGTCTGCATTTCCCTAATGGTTAGTGACGTTGAGCACCTTTGCACATCCCTGTTGGATACTCGTGTGTCTTCTTTTGTCTATTCGAGTCCTGTGCCCATTTTTAAATTAGTTTATTTGGTTTTTTGTTATTGAGTTGTAGGAGTTTCTCATGTATTTTGGATTTTAACCCTTTCTCAGATATACTTTCTCCTATTTTTTTCTCCAGTTATTCTTGGAGAATTCTTCTAGAGAAAGTCTACAACTGTGAAGTATATACAATAAATAAATATTATCTCACTGGATAAGAAAGGCTTATGTATGAAAGTATTCCACATTAGGATCAGTTTATATGATGTCTTGATTTCATTCATGAGGTAGATTTCCCCAGATATTTAAGCATTCTAGATAGAATATGTTGAGATATTGGAAATGTAACTGATGCTTCTTTTTTGTGCCCCACACATTTTCTAGCATATTAAGTCTGGAGAATGACAGGTTAGCTGTGCTCAAAGTCTAGTTCCATCCAGGCCTCACTTAAATATTCCTGTGTTATTTGATAATCGAGGTTATACATAATAGCATGTAAAACTACCTTTTACGGTATTTTTTTTTTCATTATTGTAGATTTGTGGATACATGTGCAAGTTCGTCACAAGGATATATTGATTGCATGATGCTGAGATTTGGACTTCTACTGATCCTGTCACCCAAATAGTGAACATAGTACCCAATAGGAGTTTTTTCAGCCCCTACCCTCCTCACTCCCTCCCCACTTTTGGAGACCTCATTGTAATTCCATCTTTATGTGTGTACCCAATATTTAGCTCCCACTTGTAAGTGAGAACATAGGATATTTGGTTGTCTGTTGCTGGGTCAATTCATTTAGAATAATGGCCTCCAGCTGCATCCATGTTGCTGCAAAGGACATTATTTCACTCCTTTTTATGGCTGTGTAGTATTCCATAGTGTATATGTACCACATTTTCTTTATCCAGTCCAGTATTGATGGTTACCTAGGTTGATTCCATGTCTTTGCTGTTATTAATAGTGTTGCAATGAACATACAAGTGTAGGTGTCTTTTTGGTAGAATGATTTATTTTCCTTTGGGTAGATACCCAGTAATGAGATTGCTGGGTCAGATGGTAGTTCCATTTTTAGTTCTTTGAGAAATCGCCAAACTATTTCCACAGGGGCTGAACTAATTTACATTCGTACCAACAGTGTATAGGCATGTAAGCTGTATCTTGACACAGATATGAAGTGGGTGATTTTTGGCCACAAAACAAATTATTATTAAATATTTACATCTAAAAATAAAAATTGCAAGAAAATGTGTTAGATAGATAAATAAACATCCCTGATCTTAAGGTTTTCAATTTGTTTTTGAAGTTAATCCTTTATTAAGATAGTAGGTGTTTATTGTTTGAATTTTTTAGAATACATAAAGATGGAAGCCAAAATTTTGGTGAATATCTTTACAGATATATTGCCAAGCATAGTTTTACATCATCGGACCTTAGATGTAAACACAACCATTTTTTAGATATGTAATCTTTTAAAAGAGATATAGACAAGGCTCATATTTTTTTCCTCTTTCAGCATTGTTGTCCAAACATGATAACTAAATTTTTGGGAGGAGTCATTAAATCAGAACGTCTATGTGCTGAAGACAAAAAAGAGATTGATCCAGAGACAGGAAAGTTGTTCATGTTAGTCAATGAGTTTTATTATGGAAGGCATGAAGGAGTCGCTGAGAAAGAGCCAAAGACTTACACAACCTTTAAATGCTTCAGTTGCTCGAAAGTTCTTAAAAATAATATTAGGTATGTAAATGCTTATTTTTATTTCTGTTTGAAAGTTGGGATATGACAGATAAGAATATAGTATCTTTACTTTGCTGTGCCATCTTTGTTAAGTAATTCTAATACTTTCTACTAAGAACAGAGGCAGATTATCATGTTGAAAAGCTTTTGTCCCTTCTTGTATTTTAAGAGTTTAACTCCAGGATCCACCTAGTTGTATTGTTTTCAGATAGCTTAAGAAAAGTCAAAATGTATTTTAATTTAGAGAGAAATTACTTTTTTTTCCCTACACTTATCACGGAACTGGGATTTTCTAGCTGACTTTGAATCTTTTCTTCATGTCATAAGAAGAACCACTATGCAGCGTGACCTTCTCCATACTAACCTTATTTAAAGCTCAAATTTTTCCCTTTTAAAATACATTGCAGACATTTACCAAAACCAAAAAGAGTTTTGGAAGTGTGAAAAAGAGATAAATGCCCAAACCTTCACAATGATTGCTATCTAGGTCATGACATTATTTCAAGAGTATTTTTTTCAGTGATTCGTAATTGTAAATAGTTGACCCAGTCTTAAAAGTGTTGTTTGAATTGAATAACTTTACTTTGAAATTCAGCAAAAAGCTTTTTTAGTAAGCTCTTTGAAAAAGGTATGCCCATTTATATTGTACTCTCTGCCATTGAACATCATAGTTCCTTCTCTTGAGAAGCCTTTTAGAGAAGCTAAAATAGCAGAATGTAAAACTGAAAAATAGTGCTACAAAGGGCACAGCCTGCTAAGAAAAATAGTTTGTGCTAACAGTAAGCCAATATAATTAGATAAAACAAAAGGTTATCGTAATTATAGGCATTGAAATTGCTATTGCATGCATTTAGAAACCAAGACACAAATAAGAATATGCCAGCAGTTTGTCTTTTGAGCAGCTGATTTCAAAGCTTTCAAAGATTTGTCTCTTCACTGTAGCTGCTTTTAATGATAGGGTTTCCATCCTTTCAATATTTTATTTTGAAATATAAATAGTATTTCATATATGGAAAAGAAGCCTGCTATTTTTATTTGCTATAAAAAACCTTTTAATCTAAAATAATGATAAAACATTACGGCAAATTAGTGATGTTTCATACTAATATATTAATGGATTATTTTAAAAACAGATGAAAAAACACCTTACCGAGCACTTAATGCAAGTAAATTATTTAAAATACACACTTTTCTAGAGGGCTTTCAGGCCTCAGAAGTGTTTTGAGTCATAAAATTACATTTTAAAAATTTAGGTTTACAGAGACTTATTTGCGAGGCTTTTCTTTGGTTAGAAGTCTGAATTTTTGCTCTCATTGGCAATCATTTATAGGTTTATGAACCACATGAAACATCACATGGAACTTGAGAAGCAGAACAGTGAAAGCTGGGAAAACCACACCACCTGCCAGCACTGTTACCGGCAGTATCCCACACCCTTCCAACTGCAGTGCCACATCGAGAGTACACACACTCCCCATGAGTTTTCGAGTAAGTGAAAATTTCTTTGGAGTCCTGAATATTACTGATCATCTGAACTGTGAGGAAATCTTAAAAATTCTGACAGAAAAAAATAATAAGAATTAGCGTTTGTAATTTGAGGGCAAAATTGGGGAAAAAATCACAACTTTTATAAATTTAGATGAAATGTGTTGGTAAAGCCAGGCTCAGTGATGGTGCATGCCTATACTCCCAGCTACTGAGAAGGCTGAGGCAGGAGGATCACTTGAGCCCACGGGTTCAGCACTGTAGAATGCTATGATCAATTACAGCTGTGAATAGCAACTGCACTTCAGCCTGGGCAACATAGCCAAGACCCTGTCTCTAAAAAAAGAAAAAAAAATTGTTAAAATTGAAGTCCCTCCTCCACAGTTCATTAGTGGAAATTTCCTTGGCATGACGCATGCATTGTATGTAGAGGACTAAATTAGAATACCCAAATTCCATGGTTTTCAAATTTGAAATCAATGGTCTTGATTTACACTTTAGACAGAAAGTAACTACAATGTAGATTTAGAGCCTGAGAAGCGAATAGATTTGGTTCAGATTCCAGCTTTGCCTCTTACTATAGCTGTGAGATCTCAAGCAAGTTACTTACTTTTTCTGTGCTTCTGGTTCCTCATCTGAAAAATAGGAATAATAACAGTACCTTCTTCAATGATGTTATAAGAATTAAATATGCTAATATAAGTCATGTCCTTGGAACAGCATTACAGAGTTAACAGCTATAGAATTGTTAGAACCACATCACTGTTACTTCTGTTATTATTACTTGTTGTTGTTATGGATGTACAAAATGAATCTTTTTTTATATACATCCTTAAATGGTATAATGTGTTTTTTTTCCCACTTTCAGCTATTTGCAAAATCTGTGAATTATCATTTGAAACAGAGCATATTCTTTTACAACATATGAAGGACACTCATAAACCTGGTGAAATGCCATACGTTTGCCAGGTACACATTTTATTGTGTAGTTAAGTGTTTGTTTGTTTGATTTTCATGTGCCATGTAATAGTATTCTTTTGATTTGTTAAAACCATTTAAATAAAAATAGTTACTATACTAAAATTGAAGACCCTCTTCATTAGTGGGAACCCCCTTGGGTTTAACTTATGCATTATATGTAAGGGGGTGGACTAGCTTTTTTTGCCTGTGGGTTGTAGTTTGCTGACCCCTGCACTAGATGAGGAAATGCCCTGCTAGAGAAAGACAACTATGTGGGTTATCACATAGGGAAGATTATAGATATGCCAGAGAGATGGGAAAATCTCTTAGTTATAGAAAATCAAATTAAACACTTTGAGATCAGTGTTGCAGAATTTGAAGTGGCTTCCAGTAATAAGAAAGTGAGATAAAGATAAATTGACAATGGCATAGCATGGATGCTATTTAAAATCTAAAGAAGAGAATACTATTTTATATATAGCAGGAAAAGCTTTTTAGAACAAGACTTGGCAGAGCTTGAAAATTCACAAGATAGAGGATGGTAGATTTGAAAACAGGAAGAGTCTTGCTGTGTTTTGGAATATATGCCCAAACTTTGAAAGATGTCTTTCAAAGGTTATCTTTATTATTTGCAGTAGTACGATTCTTGGTTGTATAGGCAGCAGAGCTGGACTAGTAGTACATAATATCCTTCCAAACAAATGACCCGTTATTGCTACTTTGATGTAATTACAAGATGTTTTAAAATTTCAAGTTAAAACTAAGCCTTCTTTATATTTCTAGGTTTGCCAGTTTAGATCATCAACATTTTCTGATGTAGAAGCTCATTTTAGAGCAGCCCATGAAAACACTAAGAACTTGCTATGTCCATTTTGCCTCAAAGTTTGTAAAATGGCAACCCCCTACATGAATCATTATATGAAGCATCAGGTGAGATTAAGCAGTTCTTATTTATTCATGTTGTCTTAGTGAAAATATAAAGATCTGTATGTATAGATCTATAGCTACATCTATATCTATCTATAACTTAGAACATTGGTTAGATTTATTCTGGACAGCAAAGTTGTTCTGAATGACACAATTTATAATTTATGCTGAATTACTTGTGAAACTTTCACTTTTCCTTGCTCGCTTTCTGGTGACACTCAGAATCATAAATAGTAAAAGTTCTGAAAGATAGCTAGAAATAGGAACCGTAAAGTGGAGGAAAAAAACCGAAGATTTGTGAAATATTTAGGTTAGTTATTTCAGGACTTAAGGATGGTGGAACTGATTTTGAAGGTGCTTATCAAGAGCAGGAAAAAGAGTAAGTTTGAATGGAGGAACATAAGATTAAGGACTCATAACCTTGTGTTTTCCTCTTTCTCTAGAAATCTTAGTTCCACCTTCTAGCCCACTTTTTATTATGAGACATGTGGTTGTCATCCGTGACCCAGAATTAACTTTTGTAGCAGCCAGTAAAAGGAAACAGCAAGAACACTTAAAACCAGATATGTGAACTATACCAGAGAACTATATTTAGGTTGTAATTTATTTCCTTTGTGACTTTTGCCAGTTCTGCTATATAATTTCTGGGATACCACTATTGACGCTTACATCTTTCCCTTGAATTCTGATTTTATGCTTACTGATTGTTTTCCTCAATTAGAGCGTCCTGTGGGCTGAAAACTTTGAGGAAACAGTGGGCCTATTCTTGAGTGTTTGAAACAGCCATAATGCCTTTGCCGAAATCGGAAGTCAATGGATTTACTAAATCTCGTTGTGTAATCAAGCTTTGCCTCCTGATCACCTCATTACATTTTGTAGTATTGATTGCATTGTCTCAGCAAGTTCATTCAGTATTGATGCTAATGTGGCCCTTGGTTCTAGTCATTGGATGATCATGAAATCAACTTGTTGTTAATTGGGGAAAAAATCATAAAAATAGAATTTCCAAATACATTCAGATTACCTGTGTTATGACTTGGATGATACTAGTGTCTCTTTTTTCTTATTTTTATCCTGGTAGGCCACCTCACCCTTGAAAACCTTTGGCATTATCTTTCTAGGGTTTTCCCAACACTGTTCCCTCTGATGTTAATAAGTGTTCCCCTCTTTATAACTTGTTCCTAGTAGAAGAAATTTAGTGAAAGGCTGGATTTACGAAGTTCATAGGGGTGTTTTTTGTTTATTTTTGACAACAGGACTTTTCAGAGCTTTTAATATGCTAATGGATATTGTAAATCTCCAAGCAAGGGAGATGGTCCTCAAACATTTTTAACCTTTGAGCCCTTTATTTGCATAATACCTACTAACATTTCTTGAGGTACAGAGTTTGGGAAGCACTGTTCTTGGTGCTTGTGTTTCATTTTTTGGCCTTTGATTTTGAAAAGAAGAAGGGAACATAAAGTATTATCTCTGACTATCTAATTATGGGTCTTTTAACACAATTATTTCTCCTTGCTTTACTAAGCTCCTTAGTGATACAGATATAGATTTGGAGGGAGTGATAACATGCTTAGAAAGGTAAGAAAGACATAGGTGAATCCACTATGTGAGTTGTGTTCTCATAAGTGGTTTATCTGATCTGTAGTCATTCTTCATACCCTAAGTTGTATGCCTTTACTTGCCATATGTACTGGAAAGAGTTACCCAACAGGTCTGGGTTGCTCAAATATTGCACAATTTCAGAATTGCCTGCTAGTATAACTGGCCCTTGGCTAAATCTTGGATATTCAGCTCTTAGAATGTTCTCTGTGTTATTAACTGATAAGAGTGTTTTACATGCCTGGAACCTTGAGCCATGTTGTACCAGTTTGTCAAGAAAATTTGCACAAACAATACAGATTTTTTTGGTGACCACTTGTTTTTCTTGCAGGGGGGGAGTCACCTGAAGGTTTGGCGACTTACCCATAAAAAAACCTAAGCTCTTAGACTTGAGAGCTTTCCTGTCAAGCAACACTTTATGTGTGTTGCTGCAGTACATGGTGAGGGATTAAGTGTGTTCTATGTGATTCCACTGGAATAGAGCTCTTAGAAGTTAGTGCCTAGTAATCCTCTAGAAGCTATCCAATATACTATTTCCTTTATTAATCCTACTCTGTACCCTTACACTGTAATAAAACATAGCTGTGAGTATAGCAATGTCTAAGTCCTATCGATCCTTCTGCTGAATCATCAAATCTGGGAGTAGTCTTTGGAACCACCGAGGTGCCACAGGTGCTTAGTCTGTTTGAGCTGTTATAACATTACTATTATAATATGGACTGGGAACCTTAAAACAACAAGCATTTATTTCTCCCTGTTCTGCAAGCTGTAAAGTCCAAGATCAGGGCACCAGCAGTTTAGTGTCTGGTGAGGACCTGCTTCCTTGTTCATAGATGGCCAAAAGACTCAAAACCTGAGCTGAGCAATATTATAAACTTATAGTTGAGATGGCATTATTAGTGCAATTTTATATGATAAGAATTATTGACTCTATGGCTTATTTTTGAAGACTTTGATTGCAACTTTTTCCTAAGAATAATCTATTATTATGTCTTGAGTGATTTTGGAGTTAGCAGTGCAGTTTATATAGTTTTTAACAAAGGATGAAAGACTCCAGATGTGTTAAGTATCTTCATTAGCTCTTTAATAATAACAATAAGAAGTTAACATACACTAATAACTTACCATTTGACAGCCACTGGTGCTTTTACATGCATTATCTTGTTTTATCTTTATAGCCGCCCTATGAGGCAGGTATATGATTGTTTCCATTTTATAGATAAGGAAACAAAGCTTTATAGAAAGTAAGTAATTTGCTCAATGTCACATTCCCTAATAAATGATGGAGCCAAAAATTGGTTTATAGCCCAAGCTTTCACTGCAGACTCATATTCCACACTCACATTAAGGCTAAAAGCAGAAATTACAGATAGTTACCCTTGAAAATCCCTCAAATTGGCCAGGCGCAGTGGCTCATGCCTGTAATCCCAGCACTTTTGGAGGCCGAGGCAGGCAGATCACCATAGGTCAGGAGTTCAACATCAGCCTGGCCAGAATGATGAAACCTTGTCTGTACTAAAAATACAAAAATTAGCTGGATGTGGTGGTGCATGCCTATAAACCCAGCTACTCAAGAGGCTGAGGCAGGAGAATCGCTTGTACCCGGGAGGCAGAGGTTGCAGTGAGCTGAGATCATGCCACTGCACTCCAGCCTAGGTGACAGAGGTAACTCTGTCTCAAAAAAAAAAAAAAAAATCACCCAAAATCATATAGTATGCATATCAAGAAGTTCAACCCACAACTTTTTCTCTACCCTTGGAACAAGTTACTATTGATTTGGTTAAACGTTGCTTTATTTTAAAAATGTATCCGCTGAGCACTATGACTCACACCTGTAATTCCAGCACTTTGGGAGGCCAAGGCGAGTGGATAACTTGACGTCAGGAGTTTTGAGACCAGTCTTGCCAAATGGTGAAACCCTATCTCTACTAAAAATACAAAATTAGCCAGGTGTGGTGGGCACCTGTAGTCCTAGCTACTTGGGAGGCTGAGGCAGGAGAACTGCTTGGACCTGGGAGGCAGAGGTTGCAGTGAGCCAAGGTCACGCCATTGCACTCCAGCCTGGGCAACAAAAGCAAAACTCTATCTCAAAAAAAAAAAAAAAAAAAAAAAAAAGGTATCATCATTGTGATTAATAGCACAAAGCAAGCATACATGCGTAAGAGAGAGATGCAGGACTTAAGTCCAACTTAGGACTAATAGATTATCGTCTCCCATCTTGGGGCTCTGAGCAAATAAATGCTCATTGAATGAAATGGCAAACACTTAAACTAGTTAAATTGTGCCTGCTGCTCATTTGTACTCTGTCAGTCTCTTGCTGTTTGCCTCATTTTATTTCTTAACGAATACTTGAGTGCCTAACATATGCCAAGGACTGTTGTAGGTATTGGGGATACAAGATAAAGCAGAGCAAGGTTTGTACTCTCTAAAATCTGCATCATGGTAGAAAAGGAGAGAGAGAGAGAAAGAGAGAGAGAGAGAGAGAGAGTGTGTGTGTGTGTGTGTGAGAGAGAGAGAGAGAGAGAGAGAGAGAGAGAGAGTGTGTGTGTGTGTGTGTGTGTGTGAGAGAGATGTCAGAATATATATATGTATGCCAGCTGATTGTAAGTACCATTGGAAGAAAATATGGGTAGATAGGGAGTGCCAGCCCTCAGGTGAAGGAGGGGTTTCTGTTTTGTTTTGTTTTGTTTTGTTTTGTTTTAAATGGTGTGGTCAAAGAGGGCTTCTCCAAAGGAAATAAGAGAGTAAGTCATGTGGCTATCTGGGAGAGAATGTTCCGGATAGAGGGAACAGTAAGTAGGTAATGATATGAACATGTACCTAGGATATTCAAGGCAAAACCAGGAGACCAGTGTGGCTGGAGTACAGTAAACAAGTGAGAGGAAAAGTAGTAGGAGATGAGGTTGTAGCGATAGAATGCAAGCCAGATCATATGAGGACTTGTAAGCCAGAGTCAGGATTCTGGAGTGTTATGGAAAACCAATGGAGGGTTTAAAAGATCACTGTGACAGCTATGGGAAGAATAGACTGTAGAGGGAGAAAGGGCAGAAATAGGGAACAGATAGAAGGCTATTGCAAGGGTCCTCGTAAGTGGCTCAGACAAGTATGGTATCAGTGATTGGAGGTGATGAGAAATAGAAAGTATAAATTTTTTTAAGGTATCACTGACAGGTTTTACTAATTTGTTGAATGTGGGATGTAAGAGAAAGAGAAGAGTTAAGAGTGACCAAGCGTTTTTTGTCCTGAGCAGCTGTAAGAACTTATCTCCCATATACTGAGATACTGGGAGGAGTAGGGAAGGAACAGATTTTGCGCCCTTCCCACTCAGAATGAATAAGGGGGAATCTAGAGTTCAATTTTTTTGTCCATGTTGATTTGAAATACGTATTAGACATCAAGAGGTGTCAAGTATGCAGTGGGTGGATGGTATTTAAAGACGTGAAACTAGATGAGGTGTAGGTAGAGGTAGAGAAAAAATTTGTGGGAACTATACTCTGGGGGAATGAATATTCTATCTGTCATCTTAATTTGCTGTCTGTTAACTTCACTGGGTTTTCTTTCCCCTTCTCTCTTGAGCACCTACAAGTAAATCTGTTTATGTTTATTGTACCTATGGTATGATCCAGTGCGCCACATTTCTTTAATAGTCTGAAGATGATACTGAAATAGTAATGCAAACATCTTATCTTTACATATTGCTTTGAACTTTGTAAAGAACTTTTATTCAGCAAATGTCTTCTGTGCATCAGTAACTGTACTAGGTACTTCCATACACATTACCTCATTTGGTTTTCCTAAATGACTGTATTTTATATGAAAATGATAAACTGGTGGAGATATATCTTTAAAGAAAGCATTCTTTTGTATTTGTATGTTCTAAATTTATAATAAATATAAAATCATTTTAATCAACAAGAGCATATGCATAAAGATTGCAATTGATAATGTATAGTATAAAGAACAGTAACCAGCTATGGGCAAGTGACTTAAATTTCTCTTGGGTCCTATTTCCCATTGGTAAAATAATGGGACTAGGTTTTAGGGGGGACTTAGGGGTTTCTCAAACAACAGATTGGGATCTGTTCTTATTTATGCCTCTACTATCAGTATAGAAATTTTCTAATTAAAATCTAATTATATACTTTTTATGTTTGATGCTTATATGGTAACTAATGCTTTTGAAACTCAGCTAATACAAGGAGTACTTTTAAGTAAAATAATAATTTTGGATTTTCTGTGATGGGAGATGGTAAAATTCTGGTTGTAAATTTATTTAGATTTTAGAGTTAAGCACAATTTCAGGTCCTAGGATTTGTGGTGCTAAAAGTTATTATCATCAAATATTTTCTGTAAACAGAAAAAAGGAGTTCACCGTTGCCCAAAATGCAGACTACAGTTTTTGACCAGCAAGGAGAAAGCTGAACATAAGGCACAGCATCGTACATTTATAAAGCCTAAGGAACTAGAAGGATTGCCTCCTGGAACAAAAGTGAGTTCACAGGGGGGTTCGGTGATTTTTTGCACATTCTATCAGTTTTTATTTTTGTTTTATATATATATATTTTATTGTACTTTAGGTTCTGGGGTACATGTGCAGATCATGCAGGATTATTGCATAGGTACATACACAGCAATGTGGTTTGCTGCCTCCGTCCCCTCGTCGTGTGTATCTGGCATTTCTCCCCATGTTATCCCTCCCTACCCTCCACTGTCCCTCCCCTATTCCCCCACAACAGACCCCAGTGTGTGATGCTTCCCTCCCTGTGTCCATGTGTTCTCATGGTTCAGCACCCACCTATGAGTGAGAACATGCAGTGTTTTATTTTCTGTTCTTGTGTCAGTTTGCTGAGAATGATGGTTTTCAGATTAATCCATGTCCCTACAAAGGACACGAACTCATCATTTTTTATGGCTGCATAGTGTTCCATGGTGTATATGTACCACATTTTCCTTGTCCAGTCTTATCATCAATGGGCATTTGGGTTGGGTTCCAGGTCTTTGCTATTGTAGACAGTGTCTCAGTGAACATACATGTGCATGTGCCTTTATAATAGAATGATTTATAATCCTTTGGATATATACCCAGTAATGAGATTGCTGGGTCAAATGGAATTTCTATTTCTAGGTCTTTGAGGAATCGCCCCACTGTCTTCCACAATGGTTGAACTAATTTACACTCCCACTAACAGTGTATTTTTAATTATTATGGATAGAAGGAATAAGGTCTAGTGTTAGGTAGCTCACTAGGGCAACTGTAGTTAACAGTAATTTATTGTATATTTCAAAATAACTAAAAGAGTGGAATTGGAATGTTCCTAACACAAATAAATGATAAATGCTTGAGGTGCTGCATACCCCAATTACCCTGATTTGATCATTACATATTATATGCTTGTATTAAAATAACACGTACACCCCAAAAGTGAGTTTTAAATATGCTATATTTTTAACATTTTGTATGATAATAGGAACTACTGCCTGGTTTTATCTATTGAATATAATATTAAAATTGACCTCTGATTGTTATTAAGACTTTAATTTAGGTTTTGTCATTCTTATGCTTGTAAAGAAAAACTTCGAATCATTGTTTTCTTAGTTGATTGACATGGTTTGTTGGAGGAGTATTTCTAGTGCAACTAGATTGTAGACTAAGTTGGCAGGTTGTTTCAATATTCTGTAGGCTGTTTTCAAGCTATTCCAGTTGTCAGTGTGTATGTCTGTTTCAGTTGCTAGACTGTAAGATGTTTAAGATAAGGAATTTAATTTATCTTTGTGTCCCCAGCATCTGTCATGGTGCCTTGAATGCTATAGGCTTGTTGAAGTTGGTATGACTAATCTCTCAGAGAAGCAAGTTTTGCTCCTGGATAGCATTGGTATTTTTCATTAGCAGGCACACATTGGACTACAGATTTTCTTCTCCTTGTTTGCCTTATATACTTATGTTTTCTGTGACTCTTTTTTTTTTTTTTTTTTGGAAACAGAGTCTCGCCCTGTCCCGCAGGCTGGAGTGCAGTGGTGTGATCTCAGCTCACTGCAACCTCTGCCTCCCGGGTTCAAATGATTCTCTTGCCTCAGCCTCCTGAGTAGTTGGGATTACAGGTGTGCAACACGATGCCCAGCTAATTGTATTTTTAATAGAGACCAGGTTTCACCAACATGGCCAGGCTGGTGTCAACCTTCTGGCCTCAAATGATTTGCCTGCTTCGGCGTCCCAAAGTGTGGGATTACAAGCATGAGCCACCATACCTGGCCTTCTGACTTCTTTATACAAACTTAGCTCCTGAGTATTTTCTTCAGTGAAGAGATAGATAATCCAAGGTGAAATAATCCTCAAACCTTTGTATGTCACTTTAAGTACATACTTTTGAATGCAAGTATGTCTGCTATTTAAATTAACAAAAATAATATAAAACAATTATTTGGCCGGGCGCAGTGGCTCAAGCCTGTAATCCCAGCACTTCGGGAGGCCGAGGCGGGTGGATCACGAGGTCAAGAGATCGAGACCATCCTGGTCAACATGGTGAAACCCCGTCTCTACTAAAAATACAAAAAATCAGCTGGGCATGGTGGCGCGTGCCTGTAATCCCAGCTACTCAGGAGGCTGAGGCAGGAGAATTGCCTGAACCCAGGAGGCGGAGGTTGCAGTGAGCCGAGATCGCGCCATTGCACTCCAGCCTGGGTAACAAGAGCGAACTCTGTCTCAAAAAAAAAAAAAAAAAAAAAAAATTATTTGAACATCTAGAGTAAGATAAACCATCTGGCATCCTTCCCTGCAATCCATTTGTTCCATATTGGTATTAGACATTCATAATATTAATTTAGGCAATACAGTCCTCTCTCACATCTTCCCTTATTAATAAAATACCAATAGTAGTAATAATATTGATAATAATGATACTGTGTGTCTTATAGCGCTTTAGAATTAAGTATTCAGTGTGCCTTTCCATTCATTTTATTATTTAATCTATGTGATGATCCAATGAGATAGACAAGGCAGGTATTATCCCCATATTAGAGATGAAGAGGCTCAGAGAGGCTGAATTCCTTACTCCAGGTCATGTAGCTAGGAAGAGGTAGTACTAAGATTCTTAAACTTGGGTCTTTTGACTTCTACTCCAGTGCTTTCAAAAAATTTTTCTATTTGCAAGCTAACAAGTTCTGCTCCAGTGCTTTTGTGTGATACCACATGTATTTCATAGGACTTCACAGAAGCTGTTCTTCAAGTACATGGGGGAAGTGTAGTCAAATAATTAGAGAGAATGTTAGTGGGTGACTGTGTTTTCTATTATTAACCAATAGATACATTTTCTTTTTCTAAATTGTAAATGGTAAAGTTTGTATTAGTTATTATTAAGGAAATTCTGAGCATTATTGTAATCAGCATGCCGTGTGATGAATTGATGTAAGCTCCACCATAACCTTGGAAGCAGAAATCATGCCCCCGACCCCCAGGAAGAAGTTGCATTTACTGAAAATGTTTTATAGTTACCAGAGGATAATGCAGGCCTTTCCAGATTTATTATTTCTGACCTCTGTATTAAATTTTGACCTCTATATTTGTGAAAGCTCTTTAGTTGTTTTTTTGTTTTGTTTCGTTTTTTGTTTTTTGTTTTTTTGAGACAGGATCTTATTCTGTCACCCAGGTTGAAGTGCAGTGGTGCCATCTCAGGCCACTGCAACGTCCACCTCCCAGGTTCAAGCAATCTTCCCACCTCAGCTTCCTGAGTATTTGGGACCATAAGTGCATATCACCATGCCCAGCTAATGTTTTTGCATTTTTGGTAGAGACAAGGTTTTGCTGTATTGCCCAGGCTGGTCTCGGACTCCTGAACTCAGGCAGTCCACCCACCTTGGCCTTCCAAAGTGCTGGGATTATAGGCGTGAGCTACCACGTTAAAGCATAAAATAGCTATGGGATGTGCTCTTTTGATATTCATCTAATTTGTACTAACTCCTGATATTCATTAATATCTGTTGACATAAAACTGCTATCAAGATAAAACTGATATTACAGTAGTAAGTAAATACCAAGGTAAATTTCATTTAATTGGTATGACCATTTAGAATAAGTGGGAGGCTTATCTGATTATAATACTTGCCATTTTCAAAATAATGATGATTAACTTTTTGTATTGCAGTGATTTTTTGATAACATTTTATTGAGATATAATTCATATATCATACAATTCACCCATTTACAGTATTCACAGTTCAGTAGCTTTTAGCATATTCATATTTGGGGAAACATCACTACGGTAAATTTTAGAACATTTTTACCATTCTCAAAAGAAATCCATATGCATTAGCATTCACTCTGTTTCCCCTCCACTAGCCCTCTGCAAACTTTAATCTGCTTTTAGTCTCTATGGATTTTCCTGTTCTGGACATTTTGTGTAAATGGAATCATACAATATGTCATCTTTAGGGACTGGTTTATTTCACTTAGCATAATGTTTTGTAGGTTCATTGATACTGTATCATGAGTACTTCATTCTTTTTTGTGGCTAAGTAATACTCCATTGCATAGAAAATCTACATTTTATTCTTTCATCTATTGATGGGCATGTGGGTTGTTTTCTCTTTTTGGCTATAATGCTGCTGTAAAAATTCATGTACAGGTTTTTGTGTGGACATGTGTTTTCATTTCTCTTGAGTATATGCCTCTGAGTAGGATTGCTGAGTCAAATGGTAACTCTTACCTTTAATATTTTGAGAAACTTCTGTTTTTCTTTTGTTTGTTGTTTTGTTGAGATGGAATCTCACTCTGTTGCCCAGGCTGGAGTGCAGTGGCATGATCTTGGCTCACTGCAACCTCCGCTTCCTGGGTTCAAGCGATTCTCCTGCCTCAGCCTCCCAAATAGCTAGGATTACAGGCGCCTGCCACCATGCCTGTCTAATTTGTTGTATTTTTAGTTGAAATGGGGTTTCACCATGTTGGCCAGGCCGGTCTCAAACTCCTGACCTCAAGTGATCCACCTACCTCAGCTTCCCAAAGTTCAGGGATTACAGACGTGAGCCATCGCACCTGGCCTGCTGAACTATTTTTCAATCCATCTACACTGTTGTGCATTTCAACCAGCAGTGTATGAGGGTTCTCATTTCTCTACATCCTAGCCAGTACTTGTTATTGTCTGTTTATCATAGCCATGCTGGTTGGTATGAAGGGATATCTCACTTGGGATTTGATTTGCATTTCCCTGATGACTATTGATGTGGACCATCTTTTCATGTGCTTATTGGCTGTTTGTATATCTTCTTTGAAGAAAGGCCTACTCATCGATTTTCTCTTTGGTTGCTTGTGCTTTTGGTGTCATATAAGAAACCGTTGCCTAACTCATGCTCACAAGGATTTACTACTGTATTTTCTTCTAAGAGTTTTATAGTTTTACACTTTAAAATTTAGTCTTTGATACATTTTGAGATAAATTTTGTATATAATAGGTAGGGATTCAAATTCATTCTTTTGCACTTGGATATCAGTTTTTGTAGCAGCATTCATCAGGACTATTCTTTGCCCCATTGGAAATGTTTTGGTACCCTTGTCAAAAACCAATTTACTGTAAATGTGAGGGCTTACAGTGATATTTTTTATAATAACGTGGTTTATTTTCTAAAAGTATGTACTGCCTTTGTTTTTATAGGTTACTATTCGAGCTTCACTTGGACCTCACCACTCAAAATTACCAACTACACCTTCTGGTTATACTCCAGGCACTTCTTTTCTGCAGGTCACACCTCCGACATCTCAAAACTCAACTGCTGAAAATCCTAGAAAATCTAATGCTAGCAAATCTAAGACAAGTAGGCCTCATGCAACTACATCCACTGCAAGTAAAGCTAATACAAGTAAGCCAAGGGGACGTATAGCTAAATGCAGAGCAAAACCCTCTTACAAGCAAAAGCGACAGCGCCACAGAAAAAATAAAATGACCTTAGCTTTGAAGAACTTAAGGTAATATCTTTTATTCCTGATATACGATACAAATTTAATCTTAAGTATTAAAAGTTTTTTTATAATTTATCATATCATAGAACCCTCTTACACATTTACATGGTAGTCACTTATCTGGCATAAAGACCAAGCAAATAAGGAAAAGGTACTTTTTACAGCTGCTGAGCAGAACTTGAGTCATTGTGTTTATTCTATAATTTTCATCTTTTATACTAATATTTTATGCTTTCATCTTATGATAGATTAATTGGTTTATTTGATCCTTTTTATTCCAGGGAAATGTTAACTGGTGTTAAATTTTTTACACTTATTCTAGCTTGTTTCAAAGCATATTTTGAAATTATGAGTTTCTATTTAAAGATATCAATGTAAACATTTTGGCTTTAGTTAATAAAATGTTAAGATTTTCCCTTGTTATTTTTGTTTTATAATCTATTTTTATCTTTTTTTTTCCATCTCCATAAGGTGTCGTTGGGGAATTCACAAGTGCATTGAGTGTCATTCCAAAATAAAAGATTTTGCAAGCCACTTTTGTATACACATCCACTGCAGTTTTTGCAAGTATACTACTAACTGTAACAAAGCCTTTGCAAATCATATGATGAGGTAAGTTAAACATGTAAACTGCCAATCAGAATTGCCATTTGTTTTTTGAAAGCAGAGTTGTCCTATTGGAAGCAAGTTTGTCTCATCAAGGAACTAAAAGGGTCTAGCAATAGGGAACTTCTAAGATGTTCCTTGTACTATTTTCCAGCATAGTAACTCATAAAATTACTGGGACAAAAACTCTGAGAACAATTAGACTGATGAAATTAAAATGAGTTTGTTAGGGAAATTTGTTTTTTCTGTGGGACTTTTTTTTCTTTTCTATGTCTTTCAAAAAGTGGTTATTTTTCAACATAAAATGTTAAAGTGTTTTCAGTATATTTGTCAAATAAATACAGTCAGCTCTTGCATTCCACATCTGTAAATTCTGGATTTACAGAATTTACAACTGTGGATCAAAAGTGTTTTAAAAAATGAAGTCTGTACTGAACATGTACAAACCTTTTCCCTCGTCATTATTCTCTAAACAATACAGTATAAAACTATGTAATAGCAGTTACATTTTATTAAGTATTATAGGCTTATAAATAATCTAGAGATTAAAGTATATAGAGGGATATATTATATATATAGTTTATATGCAAATACTATGCCATTTTATATCAGAGACTTGAGTCTGCAGATTTGGGTGTCTGCAGGAGGTCCTGGAACCAATCCACCATGGATACAAGGACCCCTGTATATGTAATTTCATGAGTGTTATCCTCTTCAAAGCGACCATTTCGAGAGGCTCCAGGCTTTTTAATGATGCTAAGAATATTATTCTGTGTCTGTCTCCCCCATCTGTCTATCCGTTTGTCTTTCTGATCATCCATCTTTGCATTCATTCAATGAAATGAGACTGTAGGAATATTCCCATCATGATGCTACTGTTGGAATTCTTTTTCATGCATCGATTCAACTTATATTATTTGAGCACCTATGATGTACTCTATACAAGGGAAAGACTTTAGAGCCCCCATTATTTGATTTGAACCTTGTTCGTAGGGGCTTGCTTTATTCCTTCAGAATGGATTTTATTTTAAATAACCAAAAAGTGTTCAGATATAAATATAAGTTGATTATTTTAATCAAGATAGTTCCATTTATTTTCAGTTATAAATAAGATATAATTAGCCAGGCACAATGGCTCACGCCTAGAATCCCAACATTTTAAGAGGCCAAGGAGAGAGGATTGCTTGAGCCTAGGAGTTCGAGACCAGCCTGGGCCACATAGCAAGACCTTGTCTCTATTTTTAAAAAAGAAGTAGGTATAACCAATAAAAGTGGTTTTCTTGCAGATTATAACAAGACATCTGTATTATTTTCTGCTCATAATCAGCTACCACTTTGAAGGATTCATCCACCACATTCTTTGATGGCTTCAGCCTGGCTTGCAGGGTTTTTTTTTCCTTTTGGTGATCAGCCCGACCTTATGATACTTTTATTTCTTTAGTGCTAGCACTTCACATCTCCCTCTACTTTGTTGTATCCCCTTTCTTAACACCATCCCATTTTACCTCATTGTAGACAATACTTATTTTGAATTCTCATTACTCCATGACTTTCAGGGTCTTGAACCTTTTTTTCTAGTCCAGTAGTACCAATTGAATTTTGTAGCCAACCACACCCTCAAGGTCTTCTGTTTTGATGTTGCTTTGTTTCTGTCCTAAAATCCTTTATATCTTCAGGCATGCTTAGCTTAGCCTTGCTATCTTTGTATCTTTTATCCTTTTTTTTTTTTTTTAATCCCAGCTCACGTTCCCTATTAGTGGGGCATCTTTTATGCTTTTTGATGTATCCCTGTTCTCAGTTCTAGACCACCACACCATGCTTGATTCAATCAGCTCCGAATTCATGGTCTTTAATTTGGTCCTGCCCTTTTAAAAATACCACTTTGTTTTTATCTACCACATCTCTCAGATTTTTTATTCTAGTCCGTCAGTTGTTAACTTTGCCTAATAATTACTCAGAGGTCATCCTTTTTGTTTTTCTGAAGATTAACTTTTTCTTGCCTCAAGGTTTTTTTTTCTTTCATCCAGATATTAATCTCGGAAAACAGACATGTCCCACTTTTTTTAAGTTAACCCTGTTCCTCATCTCTTGCATTTCCTCAAGATCCTTATTTCATTATTTTGGACCTTCAGTTCATCTTTCTCTCTACCACATTCGTTGTGTCTGCCGATATTTTCAGCCATGCTTTGAGGATGAGGGAGATCTGCCTTTACTTTGCATGTTTTCTTGTCTTCCTTTTACTATCAACATTTGTAAAGATTATACTTTACTAGCCTGTTTGTCATTTTTGACCCTTTGTAATTTGAGTGTCACCCCCTCCCACCTACACACAGCTAAAGCTTCTCCTTTAAAGGTTATCAGTTATATCCTAACCACTGAATCTACTCATTATTTTTCATTATTACTCCTCGATTACTTCTTCAGAGTATTTGACATTTTTGATCACTAACTTGTAGAACTCTTCTCAACTTTGTTAAACAGTTACCACCATTTTTCTTCTTTCCTTTTGGTTACTCCTCCTCTATATAATTATCTTTTCTCCCTTCAACTGTTCTTGCCCCTTTATAATCCCTTTCTTGGTACCCTAACCATTCTTAAAGTTTTATCTTTTACCTTTCAACTGTAAATCCTCTGATTTCAATGCTGAGTTTCCCTGAGACCCAACTCTTTGTTTCTAACTAGGATTCAAACCACTTTTACTTCAGTACCCTTTAAGCTCAGTCTGTTTCAGGGCATCATTTGCATAAACATGAAGCACCAGCTAGGAATGATTTACTCTCCCAAGTTTCTGAAGCCCCTGGAGTTCTCTTAATCTGCCACCATACATCCTAGCGTCCTGAGAGCCCACCTTCTGCAATTTACCAATCTGCCTCTTCCTCTACTAACAGTGGTTCTGTACCTATACCCCAGTTTCTCTAAAGCAGAACGTAGCCAACCCTTCCCCCAGTACACTGCTGTGAGTAATGTTGTTCTCTTATTCTCTGCCAAACACTTGACTGTCCTAATGAGGCTTCAGTTCTGCCCCTAATTTATAGAGGATTAAATTGGAAAATATTTTTGACATTTCCTAAACCATGTGTTCTTCCATCCTCACCTCTCCCATTTTCTGTAGGCTTATCAACTGTCTTGTAGAACCTTCAGCCCCATTCTATACCCAAATATTCCCAATTGGCCTAAAGTTACCTTCTTAACCTTTTCCTAATTTCTGGTGATCCCCGGCCCTGCACTGTCATCACACACATTGAGCTCTTACTCATCATTAACCTCATAGAGAAATGAAAGCTTCCACTTCTACTCTTCTAATGGCCTCGTAGGTCCTTTTGCTTTTCCCCTATTTCAACGGCACATTGTTTCCCTTGTTGCTTCAGGTACCTCCCTCTGAATAGTGTACCCTCAGTCCTACCTGATATGGACTTTTGTCATAGGTTTGAGCTCTGTATGTTCAGAGGCTTAATTTTCTCAGAGGTTGAGTACCTTTATTCCCAGCCTATACCAACTCTGTTGTGAGAAGACAGGCTCCCAGAATTGATCAATGTTCTCCAATGTATAGGTTCTTCATATTCAGTATCTAAAGTAGCTTTTTCTTATTCTTGATTATTCTCTGGAATGCCCCTCTCCTTCCCTCTCATTTCACCCTCTGTAAAGTATCTGATCAGCACAGCCAGTCAGAGGAATTATTACTTTCCTTAGGTTCTGTAACATTCTCCTCTTCTGCCTCATATGTGTCTCTGTTACCTCTTTGAGAGAGAAGCTCTTTGTATTCACCATGGTTCCTATTCTGAGAATATATTCTTGAAATTATAGCCGGCCACAATCTTTATTTTCCCATGCATATATAGTATGCTGGTGATGGTTACCTTGTGTCAGGGTAACTGCTGACCTGCTGTGTTGGGTCTGTCAGTACAAGATAGGGCTAGTGCTTCTCAAACTAGCTTGCATAAGAATCAGCTGGAAAACTTGGGAAAACAGATTTCTGGGCCCACTGTCAGAGATGAGTTCACTGTGTTTGTAGTGAGGCCTGAAACTGTGTTTCTAACAAGCTCCTAGGTAATGCTGATGATGCTGGTCCATGGACCACAGTTTGAGTAATACTGTGCTAGGCTAATCCTGGCTAATCTTGCCTGGGTTCCTAACACAGGAAAGCTTTCCTTATCAATGTAAAGGGAAGCATAAAAGCTATTACCATTGGCTATGAAGTTTGGTTAGTGGTTTTCTGATCTGTGTGTAGGAGAAGCATTGTTTTAACTCATGAGCTCTGCTTTTAATTTGCTCTCTTTGAAAGTCCTCCTGGTAATTGCAAAGGACCCTTTAAATGCTTCGTTTTTATTGAATTAAGCAATGGCATTTAGCTCAAGTAGTGTTTACTTCCAGGATCATTCAGATTATCCCCCCCTCCCCAAACATATTAAGATTAAAATGTAATAAATAATTATTATTCTCCAGCCTGGGTGACAGAGCAAGACTCTGAAACAAAAAATAATAATTAGTATCATTATAACAATTTCTGTTATAGCAAAATACATTATTAAATACCTTTTAAATTGTTCTTACTCTTAAAAAACTTTGACACTGCATTTTTTTTTTTTTTTTTTGAGACGGAGTTTCGCTCTTGTTACCCAGGCTGGAGTGCAATGGCGCGATCTCGGCTCACCGCAACCTCCGCCTCCTGGGTTCAGGCAATTCTCCTGCCTCAGCCTCCTGAGTAGCTGGGATTACAGGCATGCGCCACCACGCCCAGCTAGTTTTTTGTATTTTTAGTAGAGACGGGGTTTCACCATGTTGACCAGGATGGTCTCGATCTCTCGACCTCGTGATCCACCCGCCTCGGCCTCCCAAAGTGCTGGGATTACAGGCTTGAGCGACCGCGCCCGGCCGACACTGCATTTTTAACTCAAGTATTTTTTCAGTAATGGTGAAGTACTGATAATCTAAGAATATTCTCAGGGAAATATGTCATTTCTCCTAAAGTGGAATGTAAGGTAAAATTCTTGAATTAAACAGAGATGACTGTCTTTGTCCATTCAGGCTGCTGTAACAAAATACCATAGACTGAGTAGCTTGTAAACAACAGAAATTTATTTCTCACAGTTCTGGAGGCTGGAAAGTCCACGATCAAGGTGCCGGCAGATTCGGTGTCTGGGTGAGGGCCCATTCCTCATAGACAGCACCTTTTCACTGCGTCCTCACATGGTGGAAGGGGCACACTGGCTCTCTAGGATCTCTTTATAAGTGCACTAATCTCATAAGGGCTCTGCCCTCATGACCTAATCACCTCCCAAAGGTCCCACCTCCTAATACCATCACTTTGGGGGTTAAGATTTTAACATATGAATTCTGGGGGATACAAAAATTCAGATTATAGAAATAACCAACAGAATTTTATTATTTAGATCATGATCTTTTATTCAAAACTAAGAAATTAAGCATTGGCTTGAAATGTCATAAAATTAATATGGCATTATATAATAAAATTAACAAAATCTTGTTTGTCTCGTGTTTCTCCAGCTCTCATAGCAACCATCCAAGTAGACAGTTTTGTATTTTCAAGAAGCATTTAGGAATTCTCAGGTAATCATTGATTTTTTAAAAAATTATTTTCGTTGAAATATTGCAGTAACTTTTAAACCTGTTGTTGAAGTGCCTACTTTGGAAATCTAAGTGATTGCTGCTGAACATGATAGAGTTCTGTTTATTTTATCCTTAGACCACAGTTGGAGGGATAGCCTATCATCTCCAACTAAACTCTCAGTAGTGCCAAGCATTAAGATGAAACTTTCATGCATTTGCATTGTAAAATAACTAAAATAAGGTCCTGCAACCATATTTGAATAGAAGTAAGTTTATGAAAACACTATAATACTTGAAGTCAATATATAGCCTTCATAATTCTTAATGTTTTTAGAATTAAAGTATATAACTTATTTACTGAAAACTTACTGATAAATATTTCTAAAGGCATTGATAATTAACATTGGTTATACCACACACACTTAGCTCAAAATCCGGTAAACATCTATTTTTTACACTGTTTTGATATATTTTGACTCCATCTTTCTTTTTTAATTATTTTGCTCATGTTGACAGATGTTTACCTGGCACACAGTACCTGGCATATAGGAGGCACTTGGTAAATGTTTGTTGAATAAGTTAGGGTATGTGTTGAAAATGAATTACGTGGATAATGTTGGACCAACAGCTCATAGAGGACATTTTTATTGTATTTTTAAAACATATTCATGTTAAGCTGAGCACTGTGGCTCACGCCTGTAATCCTAACACTTTGGGAGGCCAAGGCAGTTGCATCACCTGAGGTCAGGAGTTGGAGACCAGTGTGGCCAGCATAGCAAAACCCTGTCTCTACTAAAAATACAAAAATTAGTTGGGTGTGGTAGCAGGCACCTATAATTTCCAGCTACTCGGGAAGCTAAGGCAGGACAATCGCTTGAACCTGGGGGGCAGAGGTTTCAGCGAGCCGAGATCATACCACTTCACTCCAGCCTGCACAAAAGAACAAAACTATCCCCTCCCCCAAAAAAACCAAATACATATTCATGTTATTTTTAAAACATCACTCAATACAAGGAATTAGAAAAGAGTAAAATATATTAGGTGTTAACCTTTATTGAAAAATGTTTATAAGAATGAAAAGATACTTATTTGATTTGATTTTTACCACATTATTGTCAAGCTCAGTTGTGTGCTTGGTTTTTAAATTTTCATCTGTGTGATTTAAAAGATCTGAGGTGCTTTTTTTAAACTTGAGTGGATCTCACATGTAAATAGAAAATTGGTCAAATTCTGTGTATAGGTCAGGCACAGTGACTCACACCTGTAATCTCAGCACTTTGAGAGGCCAGGGCGGGTAAACCACTTGAGACCAGGAGTTTGGGACCAGCCTGGCCAACATCGTGAAATCCTGTCTCTACTAAAAATAGAAAACTTCACCAGGTGTGGTGGTGTACACCTGTAATCCCAGCTACTCAGGAGGCTGAGGCATAAGAATCACTTAAACCCAGAAGGCAGAGGTTGCAGTGAGCCAAGATGGCTACAGTCTAGCCTGGGCAACAGAGTGAGACTCATTCTCAAAAAATAAGAAAATCTGTATGGACTTAGTATTTTATATTTCTATAAACAATTTTTTCATAATTACTATTTTGTTAAAATGAAATGTTCATTCTTTAGCTATTTATAGTGCACCTATTGTGTGTAACACAATGTAGCAATTCCTATACAGATGACAGTGATGAAGACGACGGCTTGCGCCAACCTTCAAGGAATGTACAGTTTATTGAAGGGATATAAGGTGTGAACATAAATAACTACAGTAATACAAAGAGGTTTTTAATAAGTGCAGTGAGAGATACTGATTTCAAAAGGGAGAGAGGTTTCTACTTATAAGAAGAGGCACGAGGGCATTCTAGTTGGAAGAAATAACATGAATAAAAGTACAGAAAGGAAAAAGCAGAAATTATATACATTCTTCTGAATCACAGTGAATAACTAGGACTAAAATTTGGACGAAGCACAAAGTGCATATAATGTAGTATTAAGATCAAAGTTGGCCGGGTGCAGTGGCTCGTACCTGTAATCCCAGCACTTTGGGAAGCCAAGGTGAGTGGATCACCTTAGGTCAGGAGTTCGAGAGCAGCCTAACCAACATGGCGAAACCCCATCTCTACCAAAAATACAAAAAAAAAAAAAAAAAAAAAAAAAAGCCAGGCATGGTGGCATGCGCCTGTAATTCCAGCTACTCGGGAGGAGGCAGAGGCAAGAGAATCTTGAACCTGGGAGGCAGAGGTTGCAGTGAGCCGAGATCATGCCACTGTACTCCAGGCTGGGCGACAGCGGGACTCCATTCCAAAAAAAGAAAAAAATCAGTTTGGGGAGATAGTTTTGATATATTTCAAGATTGTGGAATCCTTCAAAACAAGGCTAGGGAGTTTTGGCTTAATTTTCATTTGGAAGACATTGGGGAAGCCATTGATGGTTTGAGTAGAGTCAAAGAGTGCTGAAGGAAGATCACTTTGGAAGGGTATACAGGATGAGTTGTAGGTGCATGAGACACACAGCCTGGTTAAGGCTATTGTAGTGGTTAAGATTTGTTTAATAATGCCCTGGGCTAAGGTGGTGGGGTAGTGTCACATTATGGTTTTTTTTGGTTTTTTGGGGGGTTTTGTTTTGTTTTGTTTTGTTTTGAGACAGAGTTTCGCTCTTGTTACCCAGGCTGGAGTGCAATGGCGCGATCTCGGCTCACCGCAACCTCCGCCTCCTGGGTTCAGGCAATTCTCCTGCCTCAGCCTCCTGAGTAGCTGGGATTACAGGCATGTGCCACCATGCCCAGCTAATTTTTTTTGTATTTTTAGTAGAGACAGGGTTTCACCATGTTGACCAGGACGGTCTCGATCTCTTGACCTTGTGATCCACCCGCCTCGGCCTCCCAAAGTGCTGGGATTACAGGCTTGAGCCACCACGGTCACATCATGTTTAAGAGCATGGACTTCAGAATCAAAGGACTCCATTTCCAACCTGATCCTGGCCTCAGTAGATTACTGAAACTGTTCCTGTCCTCTATAAAAAAGTAATTATAGCACCTATCTCTTTGGGTTGCCATAAGATGTAGATCAGGCAATATGTCTAAATAGAGTAAGTGCTCAATAAATTATTAATAACATAAAACATTTGAAATACTGAATGTTTTACGTAAGAAGAGAGTCAGCTGTAACTACAAATTTGAGCCTCAATATTAGGGAAATGGCATCATAAGAGAGACTTTCCCCCTGAATATCATGGGGAGAGCACATGATTCCAGTTTTATGAAGAGAAGTTTAAATGTGCAGGAGTTCTGGCTAGGTGTGAATACACAACAGGTTGTTAAAACTAGAGAAGTCAATCTGAGGTATGCTACTGGTTTCCTACACAGGTGAAATATTTATCTGATGAACTTCAAGCATATATGTCTCCTTTGTTAATAAACTGATAATAATAATTACATTACATGATTTTAAAGGCTTCACATTTCTTTTCTAATTTTATCCTCATTTGACTAAGATACTAGAGTGCGGAGTCCACAGACTACCTTTTTTATTCACTATTGTATCCATAATACCTAGTAGTACAGTGTGGGTGAAGAAGGTTCTCAGCAAATGTATATTCATATATTTGAGTGAATGAATATTACATCCTTCCTTTGCAAGTAATAACTTGTACACATTACTTAAGTTGTTAAGGAAGACTGGGCTGAGTCTCTTGATGCCTAGCTTTTAGCAACAAGTTGAGAGGTGACAATTTATAAAGCACTAAATGTTAGCATAATTTGGATTTGGATATGCCATTTTCTTTTCTTTTTATTTTATTTTATTTAATTTTTGAGATGGAGTTTTACTCTGTCGTCCAGACTAGAGTGCAGTGGCACAGTCTCAGCTCACTGCAACCACCACCTCCTAGGTTCTAGCATTTTTCTGTCTCGGCCTCCTGAGTAGCTGGGACCACAGATGCATGCCATGATGCCCGACTAATTTTTGTATTTTTAGTAGAGATGGGGTTTCACTATATTGGTCTCGAACTCCTGACCTCAGGTGATCCACCCACCTTGGCCTCCCAAAGTGCTGGGACTACAGGCGTGAGCTACCGCACCTAGCCGACGGTGCCATTTTCTAGAGAACCATTTTAGACATACCAAGTTTATATGATAAACAAAATTGGAAAATGATTGTTGTGGTAACTAAAATGCAAATCAAGTAAGTACATGGAAAAATAATTATTGAGCTCATGTGGATTTCTGTAAATGATAATCTTTCTTACTGTCTTCTTTTCTTCATAGTGGCATTACTCTAGTGTGCCTTAAATGTGATTTCCTAGCTGATTGTTCTGGCTTCGATCGTATGGCTAAACACTTAAGTCAACGTAAAACTCATACTTGCCAAGTTATAATAGAGAATGGTACGTATATGTAATTGTGTTACTTTGAGTTTCTGATACTTATTTCAGTATTTTTGATCGGCCATCATATGGACCCATGTATTAAATTGATAATCTCACTCATCATATATGCTATTTTTAATGTAAAACTCTTTTGATTTCAGTTTCCCAAAGTACCTCAACTTCTGAACCTACTTCTGAGTAAGTTTAATTTTCCTTCGGTGCATTTTGCTTTGATGGACTTCAGCATTGTTGCATTTTTTATTGTATCATTAATAGAAATGAAAAATATTAATTTTTTTTTTTTAAGCTGCCCATTGAAATAGATTCCTGCTCTTTGGAGTTCGTGCAGCCTGGTGCAAGACAAGTTGGAATTTCCTAAGTTCAAAGTTCTGAAGTGTTTTCTCATACAACAGCAGTTAAACAGCCAAGTTCATAACACTAGCTCTCATTATTCAGATCTTTTCAGCTTTCAGATGGCACTAGACTCTTTTTCCACCTTATCTTTGTGTCAGGTTAACAGATCTTAACATGTTTTCTTCTCCAGTTGGCTCTCTCCAAAAATACCTTTCGTTTTTCTCTGCTGTACTTGCCTTGCCTTCAGAATATTACATTCCAGATAATACAACTGTTCATCTTTTTCTGTCTGTTTTTTCTGCTTTCTTAATTTCTTTTAAGTCTTACATGTTTAGGTCAGATAGCCAATTTCCCTTCATTCCTTGTTCATTACTTTTCTATTTTTCATATTTTCAAATGAAGAAGCAACACATAAGTTTCAAAAAACTGTCCAGGGGGCTCCTGGACAGTGTCCCCTTTTGATGGACACAACTGATACCTGTTCTCGCTTTCCAAGAAATGTGAATTACTTGACTGTGAGACCTCCTCTAGTTTGTGGCCTTAAGAAATCAGGTCTTGGGGAGAGTCCCTTCCTACCTGACTGACCTCCCCTAATGCTGATGCTGATTTGGCCAGAGATGACCTCAAGACCCACCAAATAGAGCTCAACTTCCCACTGAGGGCGTTGGCTTTTGATTTTAAGCTTATGGGTCAGTTCTAACCAAGAAAAGTCTATGAGATCACTGCTTCAACATGCAGGTTGAAGTTTAACCAGTTTGGCTGCTGTTCTCTAATGTTCCTCTAGCAGGCATGCAGTACAAGGAATATAAAAATTCTGGTTGTATTGGGAACCAAGGTTACTTTCTTGGTAAAACAAAATTTCTACAATTACAGTTCCCAAAGTCAGTTATTCATGTTTTCATTTAAAGTTTTATCCAGTATTAATGAATTTTCAGCAATACTGATGTTCACATTTTTAAAAAACATTTTTTAAATTTCGTTTTATTTTGGTAGCTTGGTTTTTTCTTGTTCTTAGATAAGTGCTTCAACATCCAGGTTGATGGTTTACCATTTGAGCTGCTGCTCTTTAATCTTTCTCTAGCAGGCATGCAGTCCAAGGAATTTATAAAAATTCTGATTGTATTGGGAACCCAGGTTACTTCCTTGTTCTTGGAAAAACAAAATTACAGTTAGAGTTCCCAAAGTCAGTTATTCATGTTTTCATTTAAAGTTTTATCCAGTATTCTAGGAATTTTCAGCAATACTGATATTCACATTTTTAAACATTTTTTAAATTTTATTTTATTTTGGTAGCTTGACTTTATATTTTTCTTAATCAGATTTATTTTACTGTTTTACTTTTCTGTCACCTACTTGTCCCAGATTCACGAAATTTACTGATGTCCATTTTATGTCTACTTTTTAACTCTTCTCTTTGTGTTTGTTTTGTTCTTGTTACAAACTCCCAAGTCATTTCTTAGAATTGTCTATAAATTTCATGTAGCTACTTATTGGTAGCTTCTTAATTTGGTACTTGTTCAGACCACTAGACATTATTACATGCTCTATCATTAACATTAACTTAGGGATTGTGATTTCAAAGACAAAGAATTGGCGAAACTCTTCTTACAGACCTTAAAAGAAGTTTTAAAGTTACGTTTCCATACATCTAATACATAATATCTTCTTAGCCATTAATGTAATTTCTCTGGATAAAGATAATATATTCAAAAAATATTGGGACCAAAAAATGCACTTGTTTCTTGCCCATATATATATAGATGTATCTATTTTTTAATTTGGTGTTTGTTTATTTTGGTTACATTGAATATAGATTTGCTGAACAGTTTTGATGTTATTATTTTTTTAATAAAATTTGTATTGTGAAAGTGCCTTGGAAATTATTTTCTAATAACTTCGTATAAAAGCTGTAGGTTGTATCATACAACTATAGGAGCATTACTTTATTCCTAGTTCCAGGGAGCCTGATTGCCTGACCAACAGACCGAAAGCTTTATCTACTGAGCACATCTTGCACTTTTTCTTCCAGCACAGTTAAAAGCAAACTATTTATACTTTACTAATTCCTTGAGCAACCAGCAAAATACCCCTCTGTGATCTTAATAATCATGAAAGAAGGTGGGCAGTTTCTGAAGTCGTTTGATTCAATATGGGTGTTTTTTAACTCTAAAATTAGAACTGGACCAGGTACAGTGGCTCATGTCAGTAATCCCAATACTTTGAAAGGCTGAGGTAGGAGCCAGGAGTTTTAAGACTAGCCTCGGCAACACAGCAACACTCTGTCTCGACCACAAAAAAAATAATAATAATTAGTTGGATGTGGTGGCATATGCCTTGGCATATGCCTGTAGTCCTGGCTATTCAGGCTGAGGGAGGAGGTTAACTTGAACCCAGGAGTTTGAGGCTGCAGTGAGCTATGATCGTGCCACTGTATTCCAGCCTAAGCCACAGAGCAAGACTTTTTATTTTTTTTAGAGAAGCTTTTTAAAAATCAAAATTGCTTTAATGTACTTTGGAACACTGAAAGTGTCAGTGGCCACTGCTACGTAGTATACTCCTTGCAATTCATAATCAGGAGTTAAATCCATTAATTTTAATTTTTCAAACAGATTTCTGCTGTAAATGCTTTTCCAAAATCTCCAAAAGTGGCTTATATCATAGTTGTGGACTTGGTAATACTCTGTTCTTTCTTTCCATACCTGTCTCGAGGATGTTTTGTCAAACACTACTTTTCTACCTGTTTTTTTTTTTTTTTTTTTAACTTTTTTGTTGTGGTAAAATATAGCATAAATTTTGCCATTTAAATCATTTTCAAGTGTTTAATTCAGCAGCATTAATGACACTCAACTTTTCTTTAAGTTTTAAACTTTTTCCCAGGAATGGCAACTTCTTTGCATTTTTGGCATTGGTCCTCTTTTTATTTACAGATATTTTCTGTGTCTCTTTCACAGTTCGAAAATATGAAAAACCACATTCTTGCTATGGCAGTATTTTAGGTAGAGGTGCAGCTTTGTGTTCTTCCATAGGGTTCTATTTCTTATGCTATATATCAGCTTATTTTTCTTAAAAAGTATAATATTAAAGTTATGTGTCCCCTAGCATCACTTTTTTTTTTTACTTTGTTTAAATAAAACGATTCATGCAGTCAGTACTAAGCTTGCTTATTACAAGCAGTTGAGTTTTAATAAGTGTTAATGGGTTTTAGCTTGACGATCTTATCCCTCTTTACTTTCAGACTGTTACAGTTCTTTCACCTGTTTCAGAAATAGCCATCTCAAGCATACATCCTTTTTTTGTTTTCAAATAAATAAAAGGTATGATTGGCTCAGTTTCAGTCCATCACTATTATTATTTTTTAAAAACCACTAACTGGCAAAGACTTGGATTCTTGCCCTTTCTGTCACACTTTGGCAAAACACCTCTTTCAGCCTTTTATTTGTTCAGTAAATATTTATTACCTACTATGTGCCTGGCACTGTTCTATTTGTTGAAAATACAAACAAATCTGCCTTCATGGGACTTAATTTCAGTGGTGGGAGACAGACAATAGAAAACAAATAAAATCGTATAGTATGTTAATGGTGATGAAGACTATGGAGAAGAATAAAATAGGGAAGGAAGATAGCGACATATAGGTTGGGGGTTGGGAGGTTGGCATTTTAAATTTGATGGTCAAGTTTGGGCCTCTTGAGAAGATAGCATTTGAATAAAGACCTGAAGAAGGTGGGGAAGTCAACCGCCTGGGTATCTGTCAGGAGCTTTCTGGAGAGGGGAAACAAGTGCAAAAGCCCTGAAGCAGAAATTGGAACCCTCCTGTATTGCTGGCGGCATTGTAAAATGGTTCAGCCACTATGAAAAACAGTTTGGCAATTCCTTAGAAAGTTAAGTGTAGAATTGCCATATGACGAGGCAATTCCACTCCTAGATATATACTCGACAGAACAGCAATTCCACTCCTAGATATATACTCGACAGAATCCAAAGCAGAGACTCAGGTACTTGTACATGGATTTTCATAGCAGCACTATAGCCAACATGGAAATTGCCTAAATGTCTCACACACACAAAGGGATGAATTTATGGTGTGTTGCCTGGTACAGTGCCATGCCTGTAATTCCAGCATTTTGGGAGGCCAAGCTGGGTGGATCACCTGAGGTCAGGACTTCGAGACCATTCTGGGTAATGTGGCAAAACCCTGTCACTACTAAAAATACAAAAATTAGCTGGGTGTGGTGGTGTGCACCTGTAGTCCCAGCTACTGGGGAGGCTGAAGCACAACAATCATTTGAACCCAGGAGGCAGAGGTTGCAGTAACCTGAGATGGTGCCACTGCACTCCAGCCTCAGTGACGAAGTGAGACTGTCACAAAAAAAAAAAAAAAAAAAAAAAAAAAAAAAAATTGTGAAATGTCCATACAATGGAATGTTTTTCATCCACAAGAAAATGAAGTACTGATACTACAACATGTATGGACCTCTTAAACATTAAGAAATCAGTCACAAAAGATCATATGTTGTATGATTCCATTTATATGAAGTATCCACGCAGGAACAGAAAACCAGATACCACATGTTCTCACTTAGCGGGAGCTAAAAATGAGAACTCATGAACATACAGAAGGGAACAACAGACACTGTCGAGGGTGTTCATGAATCACTTGTAAGGTGCAACATGTAACTGGAGGCTGGCAATAATAATTTTCATGCCGGGTGTGGCAGGTCATGCCTGTAATCGCAGCAGTTTGGGTGACCGAGGTGGGTGGATCACGAGGCCAGGAGTTTGAGACCAGCCTGGTCAATGTGACAAAACCCCGTCTACTTAAAAAATACAACAGTTCACCGAGTGTGGTGGCGGACGCTTGTAATCCCAGCTACTCAGGAACGTGAGGCAGGAGAATCACTTGAGCCCAGGAGGTGGAGGTTGCAGTGAGCCGAGATTGCACCACTGCACTCCAGCCTGGGTGACAGAGTGAGACTCTGTCTCAAAAAAACTACAAAGCTAAAGTAATCACAACAGTGTGTTCTTGCCATAGGATAGAAACAGAAGTGGAATAGAATGAGAGTCCAAAAGTAAACCCACACATTGCACTCCAGAGTGACAGAGCAAGACTCTCAAATAATTTTTCACATTTTTAGAAATTATACCAAGAAAAATACGGTCATTATTGTGTTTGTAAAATAGGTATACATAAATGAGACAGTTACTTTAAATGATTTCACACTCGAAGTTTCAGACTTAATCGTGTCTAGCTTCTCTCTATAGCATTATGCTTAGCTTATTAATCTACCTACTTTTCTTGGAACTATTACTATCTTCAGCCTATTATCCATTAACAAATTTCTTACTCTGTAAAGTCTTAGTTCCTGCTTAAACAGCTTCAAGAGATTTTCTTAATACTGGGATTACAAGGTCCGAGATTCAATACCTGACTCCGCAGTAAATCCTCTGCACCATTAAAGGGGCAATGCAGTGGAGTGCTTAGAACCCAGGCTCTGCAGCAGACTGCCTGGGTTGGAGTTCCTGCTCTGCCAGAGATTAAATGTGTGTGACTTTAGTTGTGTGTCACTTTCCTCATTTGTGAATTGCATGTAACAGCACCTACTCAGAGTTGAGGGAATTAATACAGTATATATATATATATATATATATACCACTTATTGGCAAACAGGATATGTCTGCCAATAGTCCAACATTGTTACTGTTATTGCTAGTCTGTGACTACCTTTCCTGATCTTATTTGTTTTATTTTTATTTAGATAGAAATACCTCAAATCTTCACCCAATTTTTCATTCCAACCTTCTCATACCACCTTCACAATCAATTTGTTAACTCTCTTTTCCTAACCCAGTAGCTTTCTTGAGGGTCACTGTTGAAATGCAGTACTAAAATAGGCATACCTTTATATTTTTTGGTTTCTCAAGCTCACCAGACTAATATTTTTAGGGAATGTCTATCAATGCTCCTGGGTTCATTTTAGTCACAATTGTCATTTATAAAGATTAGGTTAGTGCAAAAGTAATCACGATTTTTGCCATTGAAAGTAATGGTATTGCTAATACCATTTAATAGTATTACAGTATTTTCCCTAAATTATACTGCCTTATATTTGACTACACCATGGTTCACCTCATACACTGCTCTGATTTTGAAACCCTTCTGCAGTCTGATTCTTGTCAGCTTGATATTTGACCACCTGAA